CTGCTGAAATGTCTGCAGGGTGAGCTGTCAGAGTGATTGGAATTTCTAGCAATTAACAGCATAATGATTAATTTTCAACATGTGCCACTAATGTGCAACAAATTACTGGAATTCTGTCACTTCTATAAAAAGAATCCCGGGTTTTCCTTGAGGTTATGCAAGAATTGTCTGTAGGGAGAGCAGGACGCAGATTTTTAATAATCAAACCAACCCAAACAGCTGCTTTTGCTGTCACTAAAATGTCTTTGTGATTGGAGTCACCATCATCTTGGATTATCCAAACCCATTTGCTCAGAAGAGCTCCTTTAGGAAGGAATTTCAAGGAAGGAAATTGGGAATTTCAAGGCAAGGCCAACAGTAACCTTTGGAATCAAGGAATATCTTATCAGAAAATATAAAGATTTATCCCAAAGGTGGAAGGTCTGGGCATTCAAAACTGGTACTTGGTAGAAATAATTTCTTCAATTTTCCTTTACCCTTTTTCTGCCCCTTTCCCAAATCTCGAGGTGTCCAGGGACCTCCCAGGACTTGCAGCAAAGCCAGGAAAACTTCCCCTCATTAATATTCCCAGGAGACAAAAGCTGAAATCTGATTTTTCATGCTCGATTATTTTATTTTAGGATTAGCCAAACCTGAATGCAGACCATTGTAATGGGGAGATAATGAAGAGGATTCAATTATCAGCATTAAATGACATTTCTGGGGGAGATATGCCGCTTATCTGGGAATTTCTGTGCAGGAAAACAATTCGGATAATATTGCACACCCCTCTCTTTGATAAGACCAATTCCCCTTTGGAAGCTCCCTAATAATTCTGTTATTGTGACTTTAGAGCCAGAGTTCTCTAATCTTTCAGGAAGGTTAATGAGGACTGTTACCAATGGCTCATACAACCTGAATAAATCCCTAATTTTGCATTTCCAGTTAGGAGCAGAACAGCGACGTTCCCGCCTCCCTCTCCTGGATCAGGGGGGAAGTTTGGTGGAAGATTCTTCTGAACAGGTGGAAAAGTGTAACTTGGATAAAATGGAGCAACTTCCAGTGGAGAATCCCAGGATTCCTGAGACTGGAAAAGCTTTCCAAGGTCCTTGAGTCCAACGTGTGACCGATCCCCTTTGGGGTTTTTTTGGGATATTAAAACTCACTCATTCCCACCCCTGCCATGGCAGGGACAGCTCCCACTGTCCCAGGCTGCTCCAAACCCATCCAGCCTGGCCTTGGGCACTGCCAGGGATCCAGGGACAGCCCCAGCTGCTCTGGGAATTCCATCCCAGGGCCTGCCCACCCTGCCAGGGAACAATTCCTGCCCAATCTCCCGTCTATCCCTGCCCTCTGTCAATGGAAAGCCTTTCCCTGGCTCCTGTCCCCTTTGCTCCATCCCTCTGCTCATCCTGGAGCCTCCTCTGGACTCCTTCCAGCAGCTCCAGGTGCTCCCTGTGCTGGGACAGGGCTGGGGCTCTGCAGGTCCAGGGGGCAGGATCCAGGCTTGGAATGCTCCTTCCCACCTGGATATCTCCCAGGGAAACCAAGCAGAGTTTTCAGGGAGAGCAACGCTGCTCTTCAGGCAGAGACTGAGCAGATTCCACCTCATCAGAGGCCTTTTCTGAACGGGAAAACGGGGAGGAAATGCAAAACAGCAGCCAGGACTGATGTCAGAGCTTACATAAGCACAATTCCCATGTCACAAATTCGGGATCACAGCTGGAGACAAAAGTTTGGGATAAAGAATACAAGGTGGAGGTAGCGAGAGTTACACAACTCCCAGAGCAAAGAAACAAAGTGCTAAAAACTCCCGGCGTTCGTGCAAAGCTGCAGCTCACAGAAAGGTGAGCAGCAAATCTGAGAACCAAAATCTGGATGAGGAGGTGGCAAAGCTGTGGAAAGGTTCCACGTGGTTGGAAATGCAGGGAGAGTCTTCCTCCGTTCCTTCAAAGCTCTGAATTATTAACAGGGCTCTGTTTCCAACTGAGATGTGGTGCTGGAGATGAAGATGGCTCCGAGAGCTTTGAAGTTTCCTAATTATTGCAGTGACACAGACTGCAACTGGACACTGTGGAAATCAACCTGGCAGCCCACAGAATTAATTCAAGGGAAGAAAGGAAGTGAAAGTGGATGTCTGGCCAGCACCAGCAGAATATCCATGGGGAAAAGGCTTTGGGATGAAGGAAATGTGGCTGAGGGTCGTTTTCCTTTTTAATTCCAACCTCAAGCTCAGCTTTGCTCCATTTCTGATGTGTAGCCCCTGGTACCAAACCTCTTTTGGCAGAGAAAATGTAAATTCAGGGGTATTGGAACAAACTGGGAAATTCCCAGTGCCTGCCTTAAGTCAGAGGAGGGAGCAGGTACCCTGGAACACCTCCCAGGAATCCTGGTAAATGCTCCAGAGAGGGCTCCTGCTTTCCAAACAAGTCTTGTATGGGATTTGGAGAAAAAATGGATGTGCTTTACAGAAGGGGAGGTGTCCATTGGATTTTTATTGGAGATTTAGATGGGGTGCTGGGAAGGAATTCCTTATTAACGGTGTTGATTTTGCTGCTAATAAGAGAAAGAAAACAGGAGTAGAAAAACCACCCCTTGTGTGAGATGTGTGACAAAGGAGAAACTGAAGAGAATTCCCTGCTGCTCTGGAAATAATCCCTATTTTCTGAACCCTCTGGCAAATGTTTTACTGCTCATTCCAGCCCTGCCACGCTCCCATCCACCTTCCAAGTTCTTGATTTTCAGCATTTCTCAGTAACTCCCTAGCTCTGCCAGATCCCTGTAAATGGGATTTCTTGGAGTTTTCTGAATGAAACTGGAAGAGCAGGAGGGGTTTGGTTGGTGAGCCAGCTCAGGTGGGTTCCTGAGAGCCCAGAAGTGCTGGCTTTGGCCCTGGTTGAATTTTGGCTGTGGTTATTCACTGTGACAACAACAACTCCCTGAGACGCCAACGCTTCGCGAGGTGTTCCATGGAAAACTCGTCCGGGAGAAAAATTCAGTCCCTCATTAATGTATCCTGAAAAACAGCAAATTAACGATTGATTAACCCTGCTAATTACACCGAGGTGACTTTGGGGGCTTTTTGTAGCAGCATCTTCACCAGCTCTGTTCTGCACCCCCTGCCTGACTCTCCAGGGATCCCAGAATTCCAGAAGGGATGGGGTTGGAAGGGATCTTAAACTTCATCCCATCCCAGCCCTGCCACGAGCAGGGACCTTCCACCATCCCAGGCATTGCAGAGGTTAAAAATTTTGAGATGAAAAAAGAAATTGTTCTTTTGTCCCGTTGTTCCAAGATATTTGGAATGCTGGAATCTCTTGAGCTGTTTCATCCCATCTTTAAATCATTCGAGTGAACCAGCAGCAGTTTTCTCTCTCTTTCCAGCAGGTGAGGGAAATGGCTTCTCCTGTGCCTCCTGATAAACAGGGATTAGTGTTTTCCTGCACAAAAGATCCATGAATTGAGAAGGGATTGTGTTTTATTGTCATTGATTTCCATAAAGCTCCTGTTTTCCTCGGATGAAGGAGTTTCTTTATAAGACAATAAACTGCAGGAAGTGATAATGAGCTGCTTGCTGGAGCTGAGCAGGAGCAGGTTATTTTATGCTGCTTTCCTCATTTATGCGTCTTCATTCAAGAAATAATCTCATTTTCGAGCTCTTTTGGAGGGTCTGATCTTCCTGTGCAATGTGTGACGTGGGGCAGTGAGCTCAGGACTCAGCTGTGGGGAATTTTAGCTCTTGAATGGGGAAAAGCACCAAGCTCTGGCGTTTCCAGGAGGTGGAAGAGGGATGAGGAATCCCCTGCAGGGATTCAGGAATGGATGGAGCTGCTGTGGCTCCTGGACTGATCCTTTTCCATGAGCAGCCACCAGCACCAAGGAAAGGATCTCTGAACATCAGGAGAGAGCAAAAAGTAGGGAAGGAAAGTGTAATTACCAAAGCTGGAACTAGTCCAGGGGAGGAATTAATAATGCTGAAATTAATAAAAGGTTTAATTACCACAAGCCCACAGGGCGTGAAATTCCACTCCTTTTAATCGTAGCCCAGGTCCTTCCATTCCATACCGGTGCTTTCTACAAAAGCCTTATTTTGCTTTATTTGCAATAATTTTGTGCCTTTTTTCCCCCCTAAATACGACTCAAAACCCTGGGAGCGGTTTGGAAAACAGGAGTTGAAGGTTGAGCCCTCCTTGCCTTTGTGGTAGATACATTTCAGGACAGCCTGGCTTATCCAGAATGTTTAAGTAACTCCTGAAGGTGTCCAGGATGGATTTAGGGAATGTTTGCTGCGTTCCAAATCCGCTGTTGGGGCGGGGCGCTGTGGGAAGGCGCTTGCTGGGGCTGAGGAGGCTCTGATCACTGGGATTGAGAGTGGCAGAAGCCTGGGAAAACCTCCTGGATGCATATTTTAGTGCAGGAAAAGGAGTGGATTTTGCTAAATCCCCTCTTGGAGTTTCCAGCAGAGCGTGGTGGCACGGGAGGAGCAGGAAGGGTTTGGGATTGCTCTGTAGCCAAGGATTCCATTCCTGCTTTCCTCAGCTGCCGCAGGAGGCCCTGGGAAGCAGCTGTGGGAGCTCTGCTGCTGTGGGGGATCCAGGGATAATGCCCATTTCCCGTGGGAATCACAGCCAGGTGCCTCCCCGTGAGCCCCCGCCAGGACTGGGACTTGGCCGTGGCTCTGCGCTCCCATGGATGGGTTTGGATTTTGTGGCTTCCCGTGGCTTATTTTCCCATCAAAGCCGGGCTTGTGGCTGGGCTTGGTGCGTTCCCTTCCATCCCAGAGTGGGGAACAGCTGCAGGGTCCAGGTTTTCTCATCCCGCTCCAAATCCCACCTCTCCATTCCAGAAAGGTTCCACAAAAACTGCACAATGCACGCTCCGGATCTCCCTGGGGAAAACCGCGTTCAGTGAGCTGCAATCCCTAGAATAACTCCCAAGAACATAACTCCCAATAACTCCCAGGGCTGCTGCTGCTGTCAGAATCCCGTTTCTCCTCCCTTTTTCCCTCAGTATGCTGCTTGGAGATGACCTCCAAAAGGAAGCTGATCGGCCGCCTGGTGCCGTGCCGGTGTTTCCGCGGGGAGGAGGAGATCGTCTCCGTGCTGGATTATTCCCACTGTGGCCTGCAGCAGGTGCCAAAGGAGGTTTTCAACTTCGAGCGGACCCTGGAGGAGCTTTACCTCGATGCCAACCAGATCGAGGAGCTTCCCAAGGTAATCCCTGTCCTGCTGGCCCGGGATGTGCGCCCGGCTCCGGGACTGCTGGAGCTCCTGGGGAGAGGCGGAGATGGAATCTGGGGATATTCCTTGGAATTGGGGCTGGACTGGGGGAGTAGGGACTGCTGCTCCTCCTTCACAGCACAGGAACGGGGCAGCTTGGGCCTGAAACGGGGGAAAACAATTCTCCAAAAGAAACGGTTCTGGCACTGGAAATTCCTGTGGTGTCCAGAACCTGGATCAGGAGTCACCGCTGCCTTTGGATCCTCTATCCCTGCTTTTCAAAGCAAGCTCTCCTTCGGGATCAGCCCTGTATCCCTGTGGGATATGCCAGGAATGCCAGGGCTGTCCCCTGTGTCAGGATCAGCCCTTTATCCCTGTGGGATATTCCTGGGAATGCCATGGCTGCTCTCTCTGTCAGGATCAGCCCTTTATCCCTGTGGGATATCCCAGGAATGCCAACTGTCCAAGCAGGAGTTTCGTAACTGCCCTGGGATCATCCAAGTCATCCTTCCTGAGTAAAACTCCTGGAATCTTCCAATCCGTTCTCCTGCTGATCAATGTTTGCTAGAAGGAATTAAAAGTTACTGGAACCAAAATGTTCTGGAAACAAAAGAGGGAAAGGTGGAAAAACCAATTCCTGACAGGATTTCCTTCTATAATGAAGCGTGAAGGGATGGGATCCAGGCCTTAATGGAATTTTTCTCCACAATAATGAGAGATGCTTATAAACTTTTAATTAAACATTGCCCCATTCTCCATCATCTCACAGCAAATTTCCCATTTGTGCTGCACGGAGACTTAGTGAAAATTCCATTTGCAAAAGTACAAAATGGGATTTTTCCATGCCATGGAGTTGCTTTGCTGGGATGTGATGGTTCATTGCTTGAGAGGTCTCACTCTGTGGAGGAATTCTGCACAGATGGTGGGGCAGGGCAGCCAAAATTCCTTTATTTTCATGGAAAAATGCTGTGGAGAACTGCCTGAGCTTTCCTGGAGACACAGCACAGAACCAGCTGGGTTCTCTCCCCAGAAATCCCAAATGGATCCTGGAGAAAACCTGCTCAGGTGGTCCCATTTCTCTTCTCTCTCCATCTTCTCCATCTTCTCCATCTTCTCCATCTCCTCCATCTCCTCCATCTTCTCCTCTTTCTTCTCCTTCTTTCTCCTTCTTTCTCCTTCTTTCTCCTTCTTTCTCCTTCTTTCTCCTTCTTTCTCCTTCTTTCTCCTTCTTTCTCCTTCTTTCTCCTTCTTTCTCCTTCTTTCTCCTTCTTTCTCCTTCTTTCTCCTTCTTTCTCCTTCTTTCTCCTTCTTTCTCCTTCTTTCTCCTTCTTTCTCCTTCTTTCTCCTTCTTTCTCCATTCCCTTCTTTTCCTTCTGCTACTGAGGAATACTGGAAGTGTCTCATTTAGGGAGGGATTTTTGGGATAATTGGGTTGGGCCTCCTGGAATTATCAAAGTGTTTCAGACTTAGGCTTGATGGAAAACAAATATATCAAAGCAAGATGCCAGAATTCTGTATGGAAGAAGATGGAGACCAAAGGGAATGGGTCCAAAATGCTGACATTGGGATGAAGGTGATAATTTTAATTTGGAATAAATGGAGTTTAACATAATCTTGGCCCTGTGGAGGGGAAGATTAATGGCAGTGTTAATAGCACTCATCAGTTTTTGTCTTAAGCCTTTATTAATTGTTACAGGAATTCAACAGCTGAAATAATTCCTTTATCAAATTTTCTGCTCGAGGTGTTTTTGCTGCAGAGCTCAAGGCTTTTTTTTCCATCACTGAATTAATATTCCAGGAGAGTTCCAATTGTTCCATGAAACCGGTACTGCATTACTTAACATGAACTTTTGTGTTATACATCAAACTCTACCATCCTCTCCTCCCTCTCTAAATCTGATTTCAAAGAATTCCTTCCAGAGGAAAATTTTGGTCATTTTCTGTTCTTCTCCAAATATTCTGTGCTCCTGATATTACAAAATTCTTTTGAATCAAAACTCCTGATGTTATTTTATTATTTAATGAGCAAACAAATCAGTTAAGTCCAGTTCTAATTTAGTTTCCTGTGATGCTCTAGAACCCAGTAAATTATTTTTCATGCACCTGATGCCTTGAACTCATTCTGCCTGATTTTATTTTTGTTTTTACTTTTCATTTTGGGTATCATAATGATGATTTTTTCCTGCTGATTTTTAGTTCTTCGTTTCTTGTATTTCTCTGGTTTTTTTTAAAGGTTTACAAGATGTTTTTATATTTCTTACTCTTTTTTGGCTAAATCCAGCCAAGTCTTTTTATTCTCTTTGCCTTTGACTTCATTCTCCTGCTGCAAAAAATCCTTTCTTTGTGTGAGTCAAGTGAATTGATGACTAATAAAGGAAAAATTGATCTGGATGAGAGTGGAGTCATTGGAATCAGCATCCAGAAAAACATGAGTGGGATGGAATTCTCCCCAGAGGTGCAGAATAAAACCCTGGTTTTATAACTCAGAGCGTGGTAGCATCGCTTGGATGTGGCCTGAGAGGAATTAAAGTTGTGCAAGGACAGAGGGAATGATGATTCCAACAAAACCCTGATGGCCAGGAAGATCTGGAGACTGGGAAAAATATCTGTTTAGCATCCAGTGGGTGAAAAAATCCCAATTTTGGGACGTCATTCCCATACTCCGTGTCTCATATTCCTTCTGGTGCAACAGCGCTTCATAAAATCATTCCAGAGGGAAGATTTTTAATTTGGCTTCTTCCTCCAGCACTTCCAAAGCCTTGGGTGTGTCCAGGTGGGGTCAGAACTCCGAGTTCTGAGCTTCCCTCAGCTCCCAAAGGAATTCCTGGTGGAAACTGGGAATCCGCTTCTATAAAATTGGAGTTTGATGGAAAAATTAGAATTGAGTCCTGACTTTTGGGCAAGGATTTCAAGGAAGTATCCTCTGGATAACGCCAAAGCATTTTTGGATCTTGAGGTTAATTATTTAATCTGAATGCAGTCACGGTCTCTTAAAATCTGCCATGAAATTTAATTACGAAATCAAATATTTTAATTTAGCAGGAGGCACAAAAAATCGGGGGATTTTTATGACAAATGTGAAATATCTCAATAAATATGAATTCCATGAAATGATATCAAAATTCCCAAGATATTGAAGAGAACGTTCAGGTTTTGAACGTTCCTGCTACTCATTTCCCCTTACCCCTGGAATGCCTTCCCAAAAAAACCCAGCTGGAGGCTGGAATTCTGCTGTGGCAGCTGTTTGTGTGTCAATAACGATCCCAACTGGAATTTTCTTTTCCCTCCCCGCCATGAAATTCCTGGAACAGCAACTGTTCAACTGCCAGGCCCTGCGGAAGCTGAGCATTCCCGACAACGACCTCTCCAGCCTCCCCACCTCCATCGCCAGCCTGGTCAACCTCCGCGAGCTCGACATCAGCAAGAACGGTGAGCGCTCCCAATCCCAAGGATCCCTAAAAATAAACCTGGGAGCCGCCGTGAAGTTTTTACTCCAAGCTCCGCCTCAGGTTTTCCCGCCTGGCGCTTTGTGGGAGGATCTCTGGAATTCCAGCTCTGTTTTTTCACTATAAAATCGAGTTTTCTTCGGTGTCCTGTGCTCTGAGGGCTCCTGCCCAGCTGGGAATAGGAATGTGAGGCCACTTTTCCATGCACTTGGGAAAATCCTGTTTCCAAAGGGGTTTAGAGCTCACTGGGGTGTGGGGGGTTTAAACAATTCCCAGGATTTACCTGGATTTGCTGCTGTGCATTCCCAGTTCTGTGTTTTCATATTGATGGGCCTAAAAACCTCTGCTGGCTGAGCTCGAGGGTCTTTGTTTTTAAAAAACGAGGAACTCCTGGAAACGTTGGGAAGTTTCCCATCAGTGGATTCTGTGAGAGAAAAGCAGTTTGGGAAGGGATGAAAGCACAAATCTCAGCACCAATTATGTCACTGTTAATTCTAGAACATTACCTAAACCAAGCATTAGCAGAAGAGTTATATTTTTGTATTTTTGTGCATTTATTTAAGGTTTGAGCATCACCTTTTGGATGATAATTCCAAACTGTGTTTCCTTCCTGCTCCGAGCTGAAGTCTGAACTGAAAATCCCAGTGAAGCATTTATGAACAGACCAGGCTGAAGAGTTTTTGTGTAGATAATGTTTTTTTTTCTGTATCTAATAAATATTTCTGTGTATCTAACATTCTCTCCATGTTTTTTTTTTTAGGAATCCAAGATTTCCCAGAAAACATTAAGTGTTGCAAGTGTTTAACGATAATCGAAGCCAGCGTCAATCCCGTGTCCAAGTGAGTACCTGGAGCTCGTTTTGCTCATCCCAAGGGCACAAAATGGGCTCCACGTGAGCCCAGAGTTCAGGGCTTTGTGTCCAGCCCTTCTCAGGGTTAGTCTGAGTGTCCTTCTCATTTAAACCCGGCTTTATCTGAGATCTGAGTGCTCTGATGGTGCCAGTCAGGCTGGGCACTGAACACGGGGGTGAGACTTCACCTGTCCTTATTCCTTATTCCTTATTCCTTATTCCTTATTCCTTATTCCTTATTCCTTATTCCTTATTCCTTTTTCCTTTTTCCTTTTTCCTTACTCCTTACTCCTTACTCCTTACTCCTTCCAAAATCTTGCAAGAATAGCAACAAAAGATGTGTTTAGATCCAGGATTTACAAAGTGGAGTGAAGGGGAGAAAGGGAGAAATGTTGATGTTTCCGTTTAAAAAAATAGAGAGAAAGGAAGAGGGAGAGAAAGGAAGAATTAGAGAAGAGAAATGGATGAAAAGGAAGGGAAAAAGGAAGGGAGAAAGGAAAGGAAGGGAGAAGAGAAGGGAGAAGAGAAGGGAGAAGAGAAAAGAGAAGAGAAGAGAAGAGAAGAGAAGAGAAGAGAAGAGAAGAGAAGAGAAGAGAAGAGAAGAGAAGAGAAGAGAAGAGAAGAGAAGAGAAGAGAAGAGAAGAGAAGAGAAGAGAAGAGAAGAGAAGAGAAGAGAAGAGAAGAGAAGAGAAGAGAAGAGAAGAGAAGAGAAGAGAAGAGAAGAGAAGAGAAGAGAAGAGAAGAGAACCTTTGGTTTAAATCCCTCAAGCAGGAAGGGAGAAAGGGCTGCAGTCCCTGAATGTGCCAGGCCTCTGCATTTCCTGTTTGTAGCAATGCAGAGATGATGGGAATGGGCAAAAATGTCTGTAAAAAGTGAGTTCTTCAGGAGAATTTGGGTAGAAGAAGAAGGTGAGAGAGAAAAGTCACCTTTCTGCTTCTAAATATACATTGTTATTATCTCCATGGCAACTGGGGTGAGCATTAAGGTTTGCTCTGTTTTTTTAGGCTGCCAGATGGCTTCACACAACTTCTAAATTTGACCCAGCTCTATCTAAATGATGCCTTTTTGGAGTTTCTTCCAGCTAACTTTGGAAGGTAAGAATGAGTCACTGCAGCGCATTCCTGCGGTTTGAACCCGGCTCAGGCTCCAGGGACCAGCTCAAAGCCGGCTCCCCTTGAAAACCTGAAGTAAAAACCCAGAGATTTTGGCTTTTGAGCTGTTTTGTGGGGCAGCAGGAGCGCGCTGGGGTTGGGCACTTGGGGCAAGGTGAGCTGAGCTGAGCTGAGCTGAGCTGAGCTGAGCTGAGCTTAGGGAGGCTCAGCCTTGGAGCAGCAGCTCTGCCCAGGGAGGGCTGAGCCAGAGGGGCTGAAAGAAGGGGCTGGGAGAGCTGGAAATGAGAGGAAATGTGGGAGCAGAACGGGAGAGGAGACCAAGGACAGAAGGGATGGGGAGCACAAAAACAACCACAGCAAGAGGAAGAAGTGTTAGCTCAGGACAAAACCCCGGAGTTAACCCAATTCCCACAGGAGGGGATGTGGGATCCTCACCCTGCACAGCCCTGGCAGAAATGGGGACTTTATTCCACTGGGAATTGCTGGAATTTCAGTCCTTGGGCTTTATTCCACCGGGAATTGCTGGAATTTCTGCCCTTGGGCTTTATTCCACTGGGAATTGCTGGAATTTCAGTCCTTGGGCTTTATTCCACTGGGAATTGCTGGAATTTCTGCCCTTGGGCTTTATTCCACTGGGAATTGCTGGAATTTCTGCCCTTGGGCTTTATTCCACTGGGAATTGCTGGAATTTCTGCCCTTGGGCTTTATTCCACTGGGAATCGCTGGAATTCCTGCCCTTGGATTGTCCCCCTGGGCAAGGACAGATGAGCAGAGCAAAGCTCGGGTGCTGTCACAGAACTCACCCAAGCCCAGCTTTAGGCTGGTCCCTGCAGCAGCCTGGGCAAAAGTTTTCTTATTTCATTTATTTATTATTATTTCATTTATTTATTATAATTTATTTTCTTTATTATTATTTATTTTCTTTATTATTATTTCTTTTATTTGTTATTATTTCTTTTATTTGTTATTATTTCTTTTATTTATTATTTCATTTATTTATTATTTCTTTTATTTATTATTACTTCATTTATTTATTATTATTTCTTTTATTTATTATTTCTTTTATTTTTTATTACTTCATTTATTTATTACTTCATTTATTTATTATTTCATTTATTTATTATTATTTCTTTTATTTTTTATTACTTCATTTATTTATTATTACTTCATTTATTTATTATTTCATTTATTTATTTATTATTTCATTTATTTGTTATTATTTCTTTTATTTATTATGATTTCTTTTATTTATTATGATTTCATTTATTTATTATTATTTCTTTTATTTATTATTATTATTATTTACTTCTTTATTATGGGAACATCATCTCAGCTCTCTGAACAAAGTGTGACAAAATCCTGCTGGGAGTGACCTGGGGCTAAAAATGGATTAAAAAAAGACCCTGGGAAATAAAAAATAAAACCTAAAAATGCTGATTTATCACATCCCCTGGGCACCTTTGAGGAGCACAAAACCTCAGCAGGAGGAAGGGAATTGTCTGCACGTGAGGAATTCCAGGGGAGCCCCAAAATCCTGTCCTTGGAGTGGGATAAAAATGGAAATATCAGGGAGAAGGGGAGGGAGGAGCACCCTGAGTGTGGGGACAGGTTCAGGAGCCCAAATCTTTTAGCAGAAAACATCTGATTGCACAAATGCTGATTTTATATTTTTATTTTTTATATTTTTACTTTTTATATTTTTATATTTTTATACTTTATATTTTTATATTTTATATTTTTATATTTTATATTTTATATTTTTATATTTTATATTTTTATATTTTATATTTTATATTTTATATTTTATATTTTTATATTTTATATTTTATATTTTATATTTTATATTTTATATTTTTATTTTATATTTTTATAATTTATGTTTTATATTTTTATATTTTATATTTTTATATTTTATACTTTATATTTTTATATTTTGTATTCTATATTTTTATATTTTTATATTTTTATATGTTTACATTTTATATTTTATATTTTTATATTTTATATTTAATTTTTAATTTTATATTTTTATGTGTATACTTTATATTTTTTATATTTTTATAAAAATATAAATATCAAAAAGTATAAAATATAAAAATTTTATAAATATAAAATTTATATTTTATATAAATATAAAAATTTTATAAATATAAAATATAAAAATATAAAAATTTTTATATTTTATACTTTATATTTTTATATTTTGTATTCTATATTTTTATATTTTTATATTTTTATATTTTATATTTTTATATTTTATACTTTTATATTTTATACTTTATATTTTTATATTTTGTATTCTGTATTTTTATATTTTTATATTTTATATTTTTATATTTTTATATTTTATATTTAATTCTGATGGATTCTTTAATTTAAATGCATTAATTATTTCCTCTCCTGTTTCCAGACTTGTTAAATTGCGAATTTTGGAGTTAAGAGAAAACCACTTGAAAACTCTACCAAAGTAAGTGCTGGGAAAATAAAGGAATAAATTAATAATAAATATATATAAATGAATAAATTACATTTATTCAATATATTCATATTATTCAAAAGTGACAAATATTTGGATTGGCAGCAATGCCAATGATGTTTCTGTGATTAGGTTTGTGTTCTTATTTTTTGCATTTATTAAAGTAATTCTACTGAAGGTTTTTAGCAAAAAACACCCAATTAATGATTCCATGATATAAAAGGACTATGGATGATGAACTGAGTGAAATTCCAAAGCCAAAATTTGACATTTTAAAGTAAATATCTGATATTTTTAGAGAAATATCTGCTATTTTAACAGAAATATCTGATATTTTAACAGAAATATCTGATATTTTTAGAGAAATATCTGTTATTTTAAGAGAAAAATCTGTTATTTTAAAAGAAATATCTGTTATTTTAAAATAAAAATCTGATATCTAAAGAGAAAAATCTGATATTTTGAGAAATATCTGTTATTTTAAGAGAAATATCTTAATTTGGTCATTTTGGTCTGATTTGGTCATTTGGTCATTTTGGTCAATTTGGTCTGATACTTTAAGAGAAAAATCTGATATTTTTAGAGAAAAATCTGTTATTTTAAAATAAAAATCTGATATTTTAAGATAAAAATCTGATATTTTAAGATAAAAATCTGTTATTTTAAGTGAAATATCTGATTTTTAAGAGAAAAATCTGTTATTTTAAAAGAAATATCTGTTATTTTAAAATAAAAATCTGATATCTAAAGAGAAAAATCTGATATTTTGAGAAATATCTGTTATTTTAAGAGAAATATCTTAATTTGGTCATTTTGGTCTGATTTGGTCATTTGGTCATTTTGGTCAATTTGGTCTGATACTTTAAGAGAAAAATCTGATATTTTTAGAGAAAAATCTGTTATTTTAAAATAAAAATCTGATATTTTAAGATAAAAATCTGATATTTTAAGATAAAAATCTGTTATTTTAAGTGAAATATCTGATTTTTAAGAGAAAAATCTGTTATTTTAAAAGAAATATCTGTTATTTTAAAATAAAAATCTGATATTTTTAGAGAAAAATCTGTTATTTTAAGATAAAAATCTGATATTTTAAAATAAATATCTGATATTTTAAGATAAAAATTGTTATTTTTAGAGAAAAATCAGTTATTTTAAGAGAAATATCTGATATTTTAAGGTAATTATCTGATATTTTAAGAGAAAAATCTGTTATTTTAAAATAAATATCTGATATTTCAAGAGAAAAATCTGTTATATTAAGAGAAAAATCTGATATTTTTAGCGAAAAATCTGTTATTTTAAGATAAAAATCTGTTATTTTAAGAGAAAAATCTGATATTTTAAGATAAAAATCTGTTATTTTAAGTGAAATATCTGATATTTTAAGGTAAATATCTGATATTTTAAGGTAAATATCTGATATTTTAAGAGAAATATCTGATATTTTAAGAGAATAATCTGATATTTTAAGAGAAATAAACGAAATTGGGAAGCTAAGCCTGGTCAGTGGGGATGTGGCAGCGTTTTCCTCCCCAAGGAATCATCTGAACATGGAAAACATCCTCAGGAAAATTTTTTCCCCTCATGGTGCGTCCAAAATGAAATGGTTTGGGTTTTCCTGTGGCAGCAGGATATCGAAATAATCCTTCTGCTCAGGATTATTTCAGTGAAACCATCAAAAAGTTATCAAAAGTTATCAAAAAGCAGATTTTTTTAAATTTTTTTTTTAAATTTATTTTTTTTTTTCATCTCTTCCACAACTCTAGAAAAGTCAGGTTTGAGAACATTTAGAAAATACTCTGGAAAATGTCTAAAATAATTAGGGAAAAAAAGGATATCTTACGGGAAAATGGAGCATTTTGGGCATGGGCAGGAACGGAATGTGTTTTGTGTTCTGAAATTGCTCTGTTTCCTGCTAAATCCAGGTTGTTCAAAGATGTATCCATAGGAACCGGATGCCAAATGGTCTAAAATTGTTGGGAAAATACCAATTTAAGGGAATTCTGACTGTGGGTGATAAAAACACGGCAGGATTTTCCCATTTTTCCCACAGAAAAGTTTTTAACCTGCAGAAAATTCGCGTTTAGCCCAAATATCTTCCCCAGGTTCTTCCATAAAATCCATAATTTATTTTCCCTCTGTGTGGTTCCATCAGGGATTATCAGGGATCGTTTCCCCGGATCTTCCAAGCAGCTGGAAATATTTGGGAATCTCTTCTGGATGTTGCTGATAATTTCAGATATTTTATGGCAGCTCTGATTTGTCCCACAAAAATAGAAAAATCTGGGATTTTCTTTTCAGGAATTTCTAGGAAGTTTTGGGGATTCTGATGGAGTTTTAATTTGGGAACTTTGCTGGGATTTCCTGCTTGTAAAAATCACTTTATTCCACCAATTTCCCTGATTTTTCAGGCTGAACATTCCTGAATCACAGCACATTCCCTCACTAAGAGGAATTTTATATTTTTTTGGGAATAACCCCATCCTAAATACTCATTTCTCTTCATGGTCAGCAGACCTGATGCTCCTAAACTGAATTTTTTGGGGGATTTTAACCTCCTGAGAGCAATCAGGAATATTCAGGAATCTCCCTGGTTTTGTTTTGTTGGGTTTTTTTTTTTTTTTTTTTTTTGGAAAAATCTGGGATCTCCCCCTGCGCTGCTGGTTTTTCTTGCTGGAATTTTCAAAGATCCTGGATTAAATTCCAGCCCTGGGTTGATCCCAAGGTTCTGTGGGATTTCTTCCCAAAGTCACCTGGAAAAGGGAAGGATTTCAGGGAGCTCCTTTGGAGCTGGTGGCTCACTGGGGTCCGGAGGGATGAGAAAATCCCTGGATTTGCTGTTTTCTCTGACTCACTGCCTCCCAATAAAATCGTGGCTCCTCAGCAGAACTTCGGGAATTTTTGGGAATTGTTTTCCTGCAGGAGCCGCTGGGAAAGGTGACATCCAATGGATCATTTCCAAAGGAGCCTGATGGAAAAAAAAAACCAACAGGATTTCTCCTGGATTTCAGGATTAATTCCCTTCGTGAGGAGGAAAAGTTGCAGTCCTCAAAAAATGGGTGGGATTGTGGGATTTTGGAGCAGCACAATTAAATTTGGGATTTAATGGGAAAAGCCACATCCTGAGGGAGCAGTGGGAGCTTGGGGATAAATCAGGAGCTCTCCAGGTGGGAATTAATCTGGGAATGAAGGATGGGAGGGTTTTGAGGGTTGGAAAATATCCATGAGTCACGGATCTGGCAGGGAATTCTCACCGGAGCCAAAGGAATGTTTGTGCCACCAGGGAGATTCCAGAATTTTCCTGAGGTAGAAGGAAAAAAAACCAAAAAAATCAGGGAAATCCCTGAATATTCCTGATTGTTCTCAAGAGTCCAGTTTGAACCGATGTTCAAATCCTGAATAAAATCCCCCAAATCCTGTTCAAATCGCCCAAAAATCAGTTTAGGGATGAAAAAATGGGAAGAGCTCATTTGGGAATTTCTCCAAGGGAAATGGGAAAGGCTGGAGCAGGTCCTGGTAGGAAAAACAATGATTGCACAGCGAGTGGTGTGGGAGAGATGAAAATAATGAAATTTATCCAAAAGGCAGAACTGAGGGGAGATGTTTGTGTGGGAATGCGTTCCCAGGAAAAATGGGAATTGGGGAAATGGGCTGAGATCCACCAGAAATGGGACATTTTATCCCAAATGAGGTGACAAACGTGGGGCTCCTCAGCGCTTCCATCTCCTCTCAGACGTTTGTTTGGGGTGTTCTGTTCTTTGGGGGTTTCCAGGCTGAAATTCCTGAAATAATCAGATTTTCCAGCTCTCTCCTTGCAATGTCGGTGCAATCTTCCAAAAGATTTCATCCCTGTCCTTTTCCTCCTGCTTGGAGTCAGGAATAAAAGGGTTTTATGGCCAAGAAGATGATAATTAATGATGATAATGATGATAAACATGATGGGATTTTATTTTTCCTTTCGTTAAAATCACTCTTTTTATCTCGCTCGCTTTTCAGCCTTAAAATTATTGCTCTTTTCAGCCTTAAAATCTAAACCAATGTTTTGAATTTTGGTTTGAATTCTTGATTCTTTCACGCTCTGGCTGTAGCAGAACCATGGGAGAACAGAGGGTTGATTTCAGCCCCCCCAGTTTTATTCCTGGGAATTCCTGCTCATTCTGTTTGCTGTCAAAATTCGGATTTTCCTTGGAAAAATTTTCCTTGGTTTTACCTGTTGTGGGCAATGGAATTTTCTGCTTTGCCTTTTTCTCCAAATCCCTCGAGCTGGGATGAATTTCTGGGGTTTAGCTGCCACAATTTAAGTTAAAAAAAAGGATTTCTGTGCATTCAATTCTGTGAAAATGAGATTTCCCTATTTTCTCTAATATATTCCTATCAATGCTCCAATATTTCCCTCGATAAACCAAAAATTGGAGAAATTTTCTCCTCATAATTGGAAACCACACAAGGTCAGCCTCGTTAAAATTTCCCATTAAAATATTTGAAGGAGAAATGGACACAACGAAGGATCTTCCTCAATTTAAGATTTTCCTTCTGGGTGATGAATGGAGGGGTGAAAATGAGATTTTGGTGGAGACATAATTGAAAATATCTGGTTTGGCTTGCCAATTATATATTGGGAGAAAATATATTTTATAAATATAATATAAAAATATATTTTATAAAAATATATTTATATTTCCCCGGGGGAAAACCACATTTTTTCACCCACAAGAATTTCCTCATAGGAATTTCCATTAAATGGAATTTTCTCTGTGCTTTGAATTCCAATTCCTTTGATTTTTAAATTTTTTTTTTCAATAAATACAATGTGAAAAAATGCCATTTTTCTCTGATATTCATTCCATTTTTATTTTTTTTCCAGGCCTTCCCACTTTTTTCCATTTCTCTCTCTCCCCCCCAAATTTAGAGACAGACCCAAAGTTTTAATTTGAATTAATCCCGCTGTGGATCTGCACCAAATGAATGTGCCAGGTATCCACAACTCCCCAAAATCTGGGGAAAAAAAAACATTTGGGAACAAGGCAAAGTGGGGAAGTTTTCCTGTTCTTGCTAAAATTCCCATTTCTTGGGATGATTTGTAACTTTTATTTATGGTTATTTCATAAAAGGGTGTGGAAGGAGATTAAACACATTCAGGTTTTTAAGCAGCATCATAAAAAATGTGTGAAAAGCAGATTTTTTTAAAATTTTTTTTTTGCTTTTAAAACAAAATCAAGTGAATTAAACAAGATTCTTCCTGGCATCAATAACAGTGGCTGTTTTGCAGAGGTTAAATTTGCAAATTTGGAATTTCCAACCCCCTGGATTTACAATTTCTGTGTCTTCTGCAGCCAAGACTTCGCTCCAAAGGGAGAAATAAAGGGAATAATCCAGGAATTCCAGGAAGACATCCAAGATTACAAATCTCCCAATCCTTTACCTCCCCTCTGACAGGAATTTGGGGGATAAAAGTGATTTTTATTTCCAGCAACCTGATAATTGAGTGGTCCAAGCGACTTACAAACACCTCTGCCACAAAATCCTCATTCCTCAGCGCTTCCCAAATCCCACTTTTGGCACTTTTTGGCAAAAATCACAGGGTTTTTTGGAGTGTGGAGAAGTCAGTGGAAGAGACAATTTAAATCAGCTGAGATTCTGTCCAGGGAGGGGCTAAATTTAGTGAAAATCTTCACTTTCTCCTGCTATTTTTTGAGATGCTGCTCCATTTTCTCCCGAGTTTCTGATGGAGACGGGAAGCGTTCGCCACATTTTGGGTTTACAAATATTCCCAGTGTTCCTGGTGCCCTGTTTTCCCCAAATAGCAGAGCTCAGGCTGGCTTTGGGAACTCCCAGCCAACCCAGGCACCACCTTATTAAAATATTGGCAATATTTTATTCAGCAGCTGCTACTACGAGGCTTCCCTTGAGGATTTTTGGAGCTGAATCCGTTTGTTGCTCAGGGAAGAGGATGGAAGATGCATCTCGTTCTTTTGCTTTAGGAAAAAGAAAAAAAGGGTTTTCCTATTGTTTTTTAGGGAAAAAAAAAAAAAAGGATTTTCCTATTTTTAAAGTTTTCTGGAAAATTGGCTTAATTATTCTTCATAGAATCCCAGAATTCCAGACTGGTCTGGGTTGGGAGGGAGCTTAAATCCCATCCAGTTCCCCTTCCACACTGGAGTTTGCTCCCTTGGTTTTGTGGGATTTATTTTCCTGCTCCTCTGGGGTTTATTTCCTGGTTTTATGGAGTTTATTTTTGATTTCTGCAGAGTTTATTTCCCTGTTTCCATGAAGTTTATTCCCTGTTTCTCTGGGGTTTATTTCCCTGGTTTTGTGGGGTTTATTTCATATTTCCATGGGCTTTATTTCCCTGTTTCTGGGGAGTTTATTTCCTATTTCTGGGGAGTTTATTTCCTATTCCTATGGAGTTTATTTCCTATTTCTGGGGAGTTTATTTCCTATTCCTATGGACGTCATTTCCTATTCCTATGGAGTTTATTTCCTATTCCTGTGGAGTTTAATTCCTGTTTTTTGAGTTTATTTCCCTGTTTTAACCAAGGAAAAGTGAATTTTGCTGGCAATAAAACCGTGGCAGTGGTTGAAATGCTGAACCAGGGCTCTTTCACTAATAATCACTTTTACCTCTGGTACAAATTGCAGAGATTAATGGTTGATATTTTAGCTCACAGCAATTAAGGCTATGCTAATTTTTTGATTAGGATCTGATTACCTCAGGAGGCCTCTGGACTGCCTGTTGCAGTTCATGTTAAATGATTTCATTATTTTTATCTTCTTTTTTCACTGCACCCCCCAAACCCAGGGTGGTGCTTGGTTCACTTTGGCCTGTCTGGGCTTAGGGAGAAATTCTGCACTTGGGATAAAACCCTGCTCCAGTTTTGTTCATGGAAACAAAGGCAAAAATTGATTTATTAACTTGGAACTTGATTAAATCTGAACCTCAGAGAAAGGGACCTGGCTCGAGAGCCCAAACACTTTGTAGTGGTTTATAAAAATCACAACAAATGAATAAATCTCTCTCCAAAAGCCACAATTTCTGTTCTATTTCATTTCAATCACTCCTTGATGTAACATGGGGCATTTTCCCTGAGCAAATATGCAAAAATCTACCAAGATTTTGTTTATTTTTATACAAAACCGCTGCTGGCTCTTGAGTTCAAAACCTCAAGGTTGGAATATATCATTGGAATTTCCACCAGCATCAAACCAGTGCAATTCCTTTTTGCCATCACGGTTTCAACGCAGCTTTATTTTTATCCCACCAAAATCTGACGTTTTGCGAGTTAAAATCTCATTTTCGGTCTTTCCTCATCTGTTCCAGGTCAATGCACAAACTGACTCAGCTGGAGAGGCTCGATCTGGGCAATAATGAGTTCTCTGAGCTGGTAAGAAATGCTCCAGTTTTTAGTGGGAAACCTGGGGGTTTTGGATGTTCTGTCCATGGGGCATCCAACTTTTCCTGGAAAAGGTTCTGTGGGATCACGGCCTCGGCTCAAGGGACACATTTCCCTCCACCCCAAACCACTCTGGGATTCTGTCATTCCAGCTGAGGGCGATTTTGGACCTCCCAAAGGAGTTTCTGTCCCTAACTCGACCCCAAAATCAGAATTCATTTCCCTGAGGTTTGAATCTTTGGGGAATTTTCCCTGCTGGCATCACGGGAAGCAGGAGATGCAGTTCCTTGGGAGCTGTGGAAGGATGGGATCAGGGATTACAGTCCTACAAGGGAATCCTTCCTGTAGCTTTAGTTAAAACTGAGATAATTCCCCCTCAAACAAACCCTGAAATGTCACCTGGTGCTAAAAAGCTGTAGCAAAGTCTCTACATCTGTTTTATGGAGCAGCTCCCATCCTGTTCCAGGCTGCTCATTTATTCCATGCAGGAAAAAACAGAGGATTTAACTCCGATTTTTAATTAAAATCTTCAGCCTGGATAAACAGAGGGAAATTTTCAGAAGTGCTACTTGGAATTTTAATTGTAGGAATTAAATCCTTCCCGAGTTCAGAGTGTGGCTTGGATTTGTGGTGTCTGGAAAGAACTGGACAATATTCCATGTATTTCCATGGCAGCACAGTGACCCCACGAGTGACAGATCAGGAGAGGGGTGGTCCCACCCTCCTCTTAGGGACAGAATTCCCAAGTTAACTCATTTTCCAGGCAGCTGCTCCAAAAATGTAGGAACTGGAATCAAATGCCAGGAGTCAAATGGGCCAAGAGGCCAAGGAACAGTGGGAAAGTGCAGGAATGTCATGGGAAAAGTGGTACCAGTTTAACTCACACCTGGGAAAAAAGGAATAAAAAAAATCCTGTTTTCATGGATTCCGAATATCTGACTGGGGTTCCCATCGGAATTTCCTTTTTCTTGGAGAAAGGTGAGTTGGTGGTGCGGGAGAGCCTCATTTCTTTGGTATCCTGGCACTGCTGTGGCCCTTCCCTTGGAGCTGGAGAAGTCTGTGCCCTTCCTGCAGCCAGAGGAGCCCAAATGGGCTCATTCCGTTCACCCTCTGCTGGGAACAGCATTCCCAAATCCTGGGAGACCTGGGCGCTCCTGGAATGCGAATTGTGGCTCCCTAAACAGCAGCTGAGGGAATCGGGGAAGGGAAGAGGCAGCTCCGGGCTCCAGGAGCAGCAAATCCCAAAGTTTGGCATCTCCCTGGTTTTGGGGAGTCAAAGCTGGCCCTGGGAAGAGGAGGAGCAGCTTTGCCAAGTTTGGATTCTCTCCACCCAGTTCCAGAGGTTCAGGAGTCTGCAGCAAGGCCTGGGGAGAGATTCAGGAAGGGAGTAGGGAGAGAAGGAAAAGGAAAGAGGATAAATTCGAATGTAACTTCCTCCAAAATTCCATTTGGACTTCCATTCAGACTCGATCCCAGGAAGCTTTTCTGTGTGGAGAGGATGATCAGACCCTGGAACAGGCTCCTGGAAAGGGGATGGAGGAACATTTGGACAATTCCCTGAAAAATATCCTTTAAGGTTTGGTCAGACAGAATTGGTCAGGGAGCTGGACAGGGAGGACAACATAAAACCCTTCCAGCTGGTTCTCTTCTGTTCCTGTTCCCGTTCCCATTCCCATTCCCCTTTATTCCACTTCCAGCAGCCTGTGTGGAAAATGAGAATATTCCCCAACAGGCCCAAACCAAAGCATTCCCAGCAGAGATGAGTAAGGTTTTCCTGGCACTTGAATGCCACGAGATCTCATCTGGATCACCGTGTGCTGTCATGTGGAATATTCCAATAATGGGAAATCCCATCATCCTGGGAAATTGTAATCCACAGGATTCTCCACCAAAAAGTGCTCTGTACAGCCCAGGAACAGGCCTTGAAGAAAGGTGTCTGTTAATGAGAGGGATTGAAGAGCAAATTAAAGTTGAGAGGGGAAATTATGATTATCCATAATGATCTCAGGCCGTGCACACTCCAGAGGGATAAAGAAACATTAATCAGCACAGGAACAAATAGGATCAAATGACCATTAATCAATTTAGCCTGGAAACGAGAAGTGGTTTTAATCATTGAAGGACAGCAGAATTTCAATGGAATTAGCAGAGGCAAAATAAATCATCTTTAAAATGCTCACCACTGGCTTTTAATAGGAACTCATTACGTGGAGATGTGGAAAACAAGGGATGAGATCGGTTCATCAGCTTTGTTCTCATCTGATGAGGCATCAGGAGCTTCTCCCACTATTCCCTGGGCAGGTGGAAAATCAGATTTCTTCTGGGAATGGCAATTTGCTTTATTTAGTTGCCCATAATTATTTATTCTTTCCCTCAGCCTGAGGTTCTTGAACAAATCCAGAATCTGAAGGAGTTGTGGATGGACAATAATTCCTTGCAAGTGCTACCTGGGGTATGGACATTTATTTTAGGGAATTATTGGGTGATTTTTGTGACCTGTTTGCCTGGCAGGGAACACCTGCACGTGCATTTCCTTGGGTGGGTGTAGAGAGTAGTTTATTAATTAACTAATTAGTTAATTATGAAAGTCACGGGATGGTTCAGCACAGGATAGCTCCACCTGCCTGGTGGGAGGTGGGAATTGGGAATATCCCTTGGATCCGTGTCCAGACGCAGAAATATCTCAGCTGCATGCCCAGCAATGCCAAATTCCAGCAGATTTAACAAATTTGGAGCCTGTTAATTAACTTGGGAGGGTTAATTTTGCTCCTTTGAGGCTGAGCCCACCCCAGCCCTGCATCCGAAGGGTGCTGCTCAGCTGGATTTGTGTGTTTGTCTCTAATTAAGCTCTCATTAACAGCTCTATCTGCTCAAGTAACTCTGTCTCACGTGCTATTAAGTCTATAGGGAAGTTAAAACAGCTCGTGTACCTGGATGTGTCCAAAAACAGGATCGAGACAGTGGACCTGGACATCTCGGGCTGTGAGGGGCTCGAGGATCTGCTCCTCTCATCCAACATGCTGCAGCAGCTGCCAGATTCCATAGGTGAGCAAACAGCAGGGATTCCTCTCCATGCACACAAGGGTTTATATTGGTTTCATTTAGATTTGTGTGTTTATATGTATGATTTTATAGAAGTTTATATATCAAATATAATTATAGAGGTATATATTTTTTTATATATTATTTTATATCTATAGATAAAATATATTTTATATATTTATATATAAAATATATTGGATATTTATATCTATTATTTTATATATATTTATATATAAAATATATTTGTATGCATTTATATATTTTTATATATTATTTTATATATATTTATATATAAAATAGATTTGTATAGATTTATATCTATTATTTTATATATATTTATATATAAAATATATTTGTATGTATTTATATATTTTTATCTATTATTTGATATCTATTTATATATAAAATATATTTGTATATATTTATATCTATTATTTTATATATATTTCTATATAAAATATATTTGTATGCATTTATATATTTTTATCTATTATTTTATATATATTTATATATAAAATATATTTGTATATATTTATATCTATTATTTTATATCTATTTATATATAAAACATATTTTATATATTTTTATCTATTATTTTATATCTATTTATATATAAAATATATTTGTATATATTTATACATATTATTTTATATATTTTTATATATAAAACATATTTTTATATATTTATATCTATTATTTTATATCTATTTATATATAAAATATATTTTTATATATTTATACATATTATTTTATATCTATTTATATATAAAACATTTTATATATTTTATATATTATTTTACATATTTATATATAAAATATATTTTTATATATTTATATATATTATTTTATATATATTTGTATATATATTTATATATAGAATATATTTGTATATATATAAAAAATTTATTTGTATATATTTATATATTTTTATTTATTATTTTATATATATTTACATATAAAATATATTTTTATATATTTATATATATTACTCTATATATATTTATATATATAAAATATATTTTTATTTATTTATTTTAATTTTTGTTGGTTTTTTTAATTATGGATTTATAATTTAATTAGTAATTTAATAAAAGTAATAAAATAGTTATTTTATATTATATATAAATATATATAATATAAATATATCTTGTATATAAATATATCTTGTATATAAATATATCTTGTATATAAATATATATTATATTTTATATATTTTATATATTATTTTATATTTTATTTTATGTTTATAATTTTAAAATCATTTAATGATTTATTCTTAATCATGGAGCAAGGCCTGCCATCAATCTCAAAGGAAGCAGAAAATATATATGTATTATAAAATATATATATATAATATATGTTATATATTAAAAATAGCATATATTTATATAATTTTTATTTTATATTTTATTTTATATTTATAATTTAAAAATCAATTAATGATTGATTTCTAGTAATGGAGCAAGGCCTGCCATCAATTCCCAAAGGAGGCAGAAAATGGTGTCTGGACAGTCCCATTTTGTAAAGTCAGGAGCAGAATTCCCTGGCTGGAAGGAATTGATCCATGTGATTGGCAAAGAAGCCAAGAAGGACAGAATTAATTTGATTTAAATGTAAAAATCAGTCTGAGAGCGATGATGGGATTGCTGCTCATTCACAGTGGGAAAAAGAAATTAAAAGGAAATAAATTATGAATTTTCCTTTTATTTTGAATGATTTACATCCATGGAATTCCTGGATTATTTAGGATCTGTGGAAGTTGTGGGAGCTGAATGGACATTCCTCTGTCCATTGGGATATTTGCTTTTCCCTTCCCCTTTGAACACAGAACTGTAAAATTCCTCAATTTTAAATCAATTTACTCAGATTCCAACATGGATTGCTAATTAATGCTGCTAATTATTGACACTCTGGGTGTCTCCTCCTGTTTTCCATCTTCTTCTTCTGCATCTCCCCATCAATCCCAGGATTTTTGTTCTGTGGTTTTCAGCAGGAATAAATCCATTTGGAAAGATACTTCCTAAAATCCAGCTCAGAGCTGTTTGGGGTTCCAAATCACTGCTTGTGGCATTCCAGGAAATCTCCATGGGAGCTGTTTATCCATCATTTCTTCCTGCAGGATTGTTGAAGAGACTGACAACTCTGAAAGTGGATGACAACCAGCTCACGATCCTGCCCAATGCCATTGGAAAGTGAGTCCAAGTTCCATCATTTTTAATTAAAATGCCTTTTCCCTTCTGCTCAAGGAGTGTGGGTTTTCAAATATCAAATAAGACGAATATACTGAATTATGAAATAGCTTCCAACCCCCAGGTTGTGACATTTATATTTGGAGCACCACTTTTAATCCTGGGGATTTTTCAGTGCAAGGGGGAAGACAGTAAAATACATCCAATTTTCCAAGAGGAAAACCAAAGATTTCGGTGTGAATCAATTTGAATGAGCAGAGCAGCAAAACAGAAGAATTTTGGGGGAAAAAAAATATAAATCCATCTGTTCCCATGGCAACAGCCAAGGCTTGGAGCTGGGAGGGATCTGGATGTGGCCTCGCAGGGATGGAGAGTTCCTAAAACATGAGAGAAACCTCTGAGGGAAAGTCAGAAGGATTCCAGGGGCTGGGATCATGGGGAGAACTCGGGATGCTCTGCAGCTCTCTGGTGTGGGGTCTCCCATGGCTCTGCCTCCTTCTGCAGCTTCCAAAATCCTCCAAAATCCTCCAGAATGATCCCATCCCACCCCCTGCCAGGGCAGGGACACTTCCCACCATCCCAGGCTGCTCCAAGCCCTGGCCCTGGCCTGTTCCAATAAGAATTTTGCTGTTGTGATGCCATTTGGGAACAATAATCCATATTTGTGACCTGTTTCAGCTGCAGCCACTGAAATCCCAGGCTGGCTCATCCTTGGATGTTTTGGATTTGTGGGATTTTCATGGAGAGCACTAAAAGCTGGTGATGGGGAACACTGAAGGACAAATCTTTGCTCCCCAAATTCTCATCCAAGTCAGAGCTCAGAAGGCTCCAGGATCTCCTGGATGCTGCCATAAGATGGATTTAAATCCAGCTTCAGCAATTTTGGGCTCTAAAACCTTTTAAAACTTTTTTTATTTATTGAATTGCTCCAGCTGAAGGGAAATCCCCCCTTTTTAACCCAATATCTCTTCAGTGTTTGTCATGGAGCTTTAATGACGTTTCCAAAGGCACAGCCACTGCTCCAAAGTGGAATTGCAGAGCAGGTGGGATCTCCAGGTCGTGCTGGAACCACTGGCTGTGCTTTTCCAGTGAAAAATTCCCTCTCCTGTAAGGAGGGCAGAGCCTCCCACATGACAATGAACCCGGCTCTCTGACTCATCCCTTTGGATGGATTCCTGCTGGGTCTCTTTCTCCGGAATTCCAGGGGTGGAACCCCCCCTCCAGAGCCTGGTACCGTCACACAGGGATTGGCCATGTGGAGGAGGGAACATTCCCTCTGGGATTTCTCCATGAGAGCACTTCTGTGCTGATTCCATGCTCTGCCGGGGAGTTCCACCCTCGTTTTTGGGATTTCTGCTCAAAGGATGAACCCGTGGTGGCTCTCAGAGCGCACAATAGGCCCGGCTTAATCAGCCATTCCACACAAAATCCAGGATTCCCGTTCATTCACTGACGCAGCCAAAGGCTGGAGACGTTCCCTGTGGGATCTGGGTGGGTGGGAAGGAGGAATTCAGCACCCCCAGCTGGGCCTGGGGCAGTGTTTGCTGCTGGGGGTGTTTGGTCCACTCTGCCCCAGATGCTGCAAATGCCAGAGGAGGTCGGTATTCCCAGGTTTTAGCAGGATCTGGAGTGGAAGAAGCAGAGGGAACGGAGCTGGAAGAGCTGAGATCAGTGATTAGGAGGAAGAGGACAGGGAGGGCCTGGCACAGGTGGAGCTGTGGCTGCCCCTGGATCCCTGGAAGTGTCCGAGGCTTGGAGCACCCTGGGATGGGTGGGAGAGGTCCCTGCCAATGGATGAGCTTTAGGGTCCCTCCCAACCCAAACCAGTCTGGGATCCTGGGATTCTCGGGTCTGCAAAACTCCTTTTGCCTGATGCTGGCCAAGCAGGAGGTGACCCCTGGCATTTGGGCTGCTCTGGCCATTCCCTGCGTGCTGTGGCTGTAGGAAATGCAGCTTGGATGGCTGGGAATTACTCTTCCTACTCCGGGAATCTCTCTACTCACCTCTAAGAATATTCCTGGTTTTCCTTGGATCTGTTCCAGTGGGTGCCCAACTGACCAGCAGCTGATTTGTGTCTGCCTTGCCTAAAACCTGTCAGGAATGATGGGGATTTCTCCCAAGAGCACAGCCAGGTTAATGAGATTTCCCCTAAATCAGCACTGTCAGAGTTGCAGCTGCTCCTGTCAGCTTCCCTTCGTGCCCAATCCATGATCCATGGGCATGGAAAATCCCTTCCTGCAGTGCAGCTCTCCCACCTCAGGGCTACAGAGGGGAAATAGAGTTCCACGGGGATCTCGGGGTTTTTATTGTGCCAGCTCCTGATGGCAGCAGGCAGGAAAACAGCTGGGAATCCCCGGGAATGCCAGGGATCACCTTCCCCACAAAATCCCTCACTGCCAGGGAAAGGTCTGAGGATGCAGCTCGGGTTTCCTGATGGATTTGGGCCGTGGCAGCTCTGGAGAGCTGATCTCAGTTCTGGGTGTGCAGCAGGGAAAGGGGAATGTGCTCATCCCGCAGTTTATCGGGATTCCCACCCGGCTTCCCTCAGCTCCCGTGGAGCCTTCCCGGAGATCCTTTTGTGCTTGGTTGGAGATGGATTGAGGATGTGGAACAAGGAGAGCTGGAGCAGGACCTGGCAGAGCCTTTGGATGTGCTCCAAGGAACCTCTCCCTGACCCCTTTGGCTCCCCAGCCTGCTTCCAGCAATTACAGGGATCCAGGAATTGCGTTGTCCAGCGCAAATGTTCCCGAGGCGCTCGGTGGTAAAACTGAGCAGTAAATCCATGGGAAGTTGAGAATATCCCTGGAGCTCTGAGGATTCCCTGGGAGGAACAGGAATCTCTGGGTTCGTTTGGCAGCAGATTTGAAAGCTGAAAGATCTTTTTAATTAAGAAACTGGAATAAAGGTAAATTAGATACAGAGTGAAGACCCAATCCTGCAGCTGAGACTCCGGTGAATCCTACAGAACAACGTCTATGGAATGTGTGCTCAGAGCTAAACTTCCTACCAGATCCACCAAAATATTTGGGAATAAAACAGAGACTCCTCTGACAAGTCCCTAAAGCAGTGAACAGGGAGATGGGGAAATTTTAGGAAGAAATAATTGACTTTATTTAACCTTACTCTGATTAAAGCACTTGAGAGTAGGAGGTGGAAGGTGAGGAGGGAAGGGGACAGAGGAGCCACTTGTGGTGGCCACACAACTTTCACTTGAAGGATTTTAATTTGCAGCCTCATTTTAGAGGAAGGCCAGGAAATATTTCTTCTCCAGAATATTTTCATGTATGTCTATAGCTTCTATATTTTTAATATGTATATATTTGTATATCTCACTCTGTAATGTGTAATACATCCATATATTCCCACTGGGAATGTTACCTGCATTAACAAATGTTAAATTCTTGGTTCCACGATCTCAGTTGCCCTGATCTCTGTCTGAAGCACTTGGAATCCTTCCCCATGTTCTTCAATATCCTCAATATCCCAGAAAATCTGAATTGTAGCGTGGGGAAACCACGTGGCCTTAAAGTGGGTTCCAAAAATCCCATTATTATAGAGTTCTGTGGAAATCATGGAGATCATGGAATGGTTTGGGTTGGGAGGGACCTCAAAGCCCATCCAGGGCCACCAGAGACACCTTCCACTGTCCCAGGGTGCCCCAGCCTGGCCTGGGACATTTCCAGGGATCCAGGGGCAGCCAGAGCTGGATGTTCCCTCCCAGGCCTGGTGGTGAATCGTTAAAAGCCGATATAATCACAGACAATAATCACTAATTAAAGTTCCAAAGGGATGTTTATTCACTGCTGGGCAGCAGGGGATCGTCCCCAAAAGGTGTGACCGCCCCAAACAAGGTTCTGCTCCCTCTGTTTGTTCCCCAAACCCTTCCATCCCCATCCATCCACACCTTCCAGCCCATCTGGCCACCCCCAGCACCTCCCATCCCCACTCAGCATTAAAATGAGCCCCTGGGTCCCTCACCCTGCTCAGTTCTTCTCTTGGTTTGGGTGGCTGGGCTGGACTTGGGTCAGTGGCCTCAAGGGATGGAGCCAGGAAAGTCTTCCTCAGGTGAGTGTGAGCTCTGGCAGGATCCAGGGAAGTCAGGAATGTTTTCCTCAGGTGAGTGTGAGCTCTGGCAGGATCCAGGGAAGTCAGGAATGTTTTCCTCAGGTGAGTGTGAGCTCTGGCAGGATCCAGGGAAGTCAGGAATGTTTTCCTCAGGTGAGTGTGAGCTCTGGCAGGATCCAGGCCCTGCTCAGGGATGGGCTGGGGCAGAGCCCAGGTGCTGCCCTTGCTCTCCCTGGGTTCCCTCTGTTCCTGGAACCACTCACTGCACTTCTGTCAACAATAGAACAATTAGCTCTGGCTTAAGCATCTAATAATCATTAACCTGCCATTTGCTCATCTGACTTTCATCTCGATCATTATAAATTGCTTCTAACTCCTGGCTAAAACCTTAACTCTTCAGAAATGGTGATGCAGCAGGACCTGGAGCCGGTGAAGCTCCCGGAGGTTTGGGGTTGTTAATTGGGTGATCCAGGCCCTGCACAGCCACTAATGAGAGGTTTCCTGTTCCCTTCCCTTTCCTGTTCCCTTCCCTTTCCCGTTCCCTTTCCCATTCCAGCTTGTCCCTGCTGGAGGAATTCGACTGCAGCTGCAACGAGCTGGAGTCTCTGCCCTCCACCATCGGGTACCTGCACAACCTGCGCACCCTGGCCGTGGATGAGAACTTCCTCCCGGAGCTGCCCAGAGAAGTGAGCGGTGTTTCCGTGCCTGATTCCAGCCTGGAATGTTCTGTGGGAGCCACATTCCATCCCTGTCCCGACAGATAATTAATTACAGCTGCCCGTGGAATTGCGTTGTCCAACGCCAATGTTCCCGAGGCGCTCGGTGGGAAAGCTGAGCAGTAAATCCATGGAAATTTGGGAATATCCCTGAGAGGAGCAGTGTGAGGAACCCCAGGCATTCCCTGAGGTTCCTGCCAACAGGAAAATGTCGCTTTCTGGTTGAATTCTGGATTTTTCTGCCTTTTGTGCCTCTCAATAAAACCCAATTTAGCCACCTCCTGACATGAGAAGTGATAATAAACATTCCCAAAGTTGGGATTCCATCATTTTGGCTTTTCCATTCCCGCAGATTGGGAGCTGTAAGAACGTGACTGTGATGTCCCTGCGCTCCAACAAACTGGAATTTCTTCCTGATGAGATTGGCCAGATGCAGAAGCTGAGGGTGTTAAATCTGAGTGATAACAGGTACAGTTGACAGTATTATTTTCTTTTTAGCCAATTTAAGAATTCTATTTTTTATTTTTATTTAAACTTTTCCTCTCAGGTCTTTGTAAAAGATACGTTTCTCTAAAATATATTTTTAAATAAAAAATTATCTTTAGAACTCTAGTTTTGAAATAGTATCATTATAATTTCATTTATTGTAACTGTAAGGAAAGAATCTTGGCTGTTTTTTCTTAGCCCTTATGGTTCAGTCTCAGTTCCTTGGACATCCAAAGGAAAACTTCAAGAAAACTGAATAAGATTAAAATCTGGATCTTGGTGTGTTTTAATAGCTTCAAATCCATTTCCTTCTTTTATCTCCTGCTGTTTCCATGCAAAAAAAAAATGAGATATTTTCTATAGGTTTGTACTAATTAATGATTAAAAAGCTGATACCCAGGGAACCAGGAATTTGTTTTCCTGGATCCACTGAAATCCAAGGAACATTTTTCACTTCCTTCAGCAGAGTTGTTTTTTTTGTCAAAGCCCAGATTTGTTGTCCTTAGGCATGGGACTGTGCTCAGATGTGAAACAAAATATTTAAAATGAGCTGTTCTCGATCCCTGTCCTGTTCTGCCACAGGGAAAATCTGAATTCCCTTGGGATTTATCGGTGTGGATGTGCCAGGAATGTGGTGATTTGTGGGATACCACAGGTTTGCTGGGCAGTGCAAGATGTGGGGGTTGAATTCCATTTCCTCTCCGGGAATTGCCATCCACACTCAGCAAAAATTTTCCTGCATTTTGGATTTTCCAGCCCAGTTTCATTGCTGAGATTCAGGTTGAACATAAAATATAAATCCTATAAAGCCACAGAGAACCTCCCTGGAATATTGTTTAGAATTCCTTAATTCAGTTCCATTCTGTCCTGCATTGCAATTCCATGGTACAAATTCCGTCCTGGCTGGGCCTGTCCCAAATCCAGTGGATTTCTGGGTGGATGTTCCCAAGGCTGGTTCCTTCTCTGCCCACGGAGGGCACAGGAGAGGGGGCAGAGGACAGTGCTGATCCAGGATTTCCTGGGATTTAGGAATGCAGGGAGTCTTCCCTGGCACGTTAAACCACCCTGAGCGGGGTCACTGCCCCTTTTTCCAACCTGGAATTGTGCCGGGAGTTTGAGCTGGGGAAGCAGGAAACTGTTGGGAGGTATTTGGGATTTTTCCCATTTTTTTTCCCCGGTGATTTTCCTGCTGATTCCAGGGCCACCACTGGTGTGTAGGGACTGACTCAGATGCGGAGGTGGGACGGGGCAGGCAGGGCTTCCCACCTTCCTGGATTCCAGCAAAATTCCAGCTCCCTGCCCCAGCTGGGACAGGATTGGGATTTCCACTGGGGAGGAAGCGGATTATGGAAGCAGCATCCCGGTGATGTGGGGTGGGATGTGCTGCTCCTTGGGGTGGGATGGGGTGTTCCATGGGATGGAATGAGGTGTTTGATGGGGTGTTCCATGGGATGAGATGGGGTGTTCCATGGGGTGTTCCACGGGGTGTTCCATGGGATGAGATGGGGTGTTCCATGGGGTGTTCCATGGGATGAGATGTGATGTTCCATGGGATGGAATGTGGTGTTCCATGGGGTGGGATGTGGTGTTCCATGGGATGGGATGGGGTGTTCCATGTGATGTTCCATGTGCGGTTCCATGGGATGGAATGAGGTGTTCCATGGGGTGTTCCATGGGATGTTCCATAGGGTGGGATGTGGTGTTCCATGCGGTGTTCCATGGGGTGTTCCATGGGATGAGATGTGGTGTTTGTTCCATGGGGTGTTCCATGGGATGGAATGGGGTGTTCCATGGGGTGTTCCATGAGGTGTTCCATGGGGTGTTCCATGGGATGAGATGTGATGTTCCATGGGGTGTTCCATAGGGTGGAATGTGGTGTTTGTCCCATGGGGTGGAACGTGGCAGCTGTGCCCTTCCCACTCCCCCTCAGTGGTGTTTGGTGACCCAGATCCCAGACCTTCAACCCTCCAGGCTGGATTGTCTTTAAACCTGGTGGAATCATCTCCTCTTCTTTTCTGCAGTGCTTTGGGAAGTGAATCTTTCCAAACCTTTCCTCCTCCGTTGCTCCCAGCTCCGGCTGAGTTTGAGCGCTGCCCTGCGGAGATGTTGGGATAATTCTTTTCTCACCTTAATGAAAACTAAAAAGTTCCAACATTCTGCACCAAAGAGTTTGGATGAAGTTCAGACACCTTCCTAATGTTGGATTTTGTGTGATTTTTTGACTTCCTGTGGTCCCAGCTTCACTTTCATCACCATTCCATCAATCCCTGTTGTTCCTTTGGATGAGCCCACACTTTCACACTAAAGAGAGCTGGGGCTCCTCTTCCTGTGGGAACATTCCCACTTTTCCACAGCAGTTTTGGCCCTCTGCTCTTCCCTGGATCTGGCAGAGGAGGGAGATCCCAGGATCTCTTTCCCTTCCAAGGCCCCTCCAAGCCTTGGAAGAAGGGACACGATTTGCTCAGGGGGATCAGTGCTTGAATCCCTCTCTGGAGCATTTTGGATCTGGGGCTGGGTGGAATCCCAGATCCCATTCTGCTCAGGGGGATCAGTGTTTGAGTCCCTCTCTGGAGCATTTTGGATCCCAGATCCCATTCTGCTCAGGGGGATCACTGTTTGAGTCCTTCTCTGAAGCATTTTGGATCTCTGATCTTTGCCACTACAAACCTTCACTCTGTTCCATGTCTTCTCCTCATCCTGGGACTTGCTGATCTTACCTGGCCAGAAGCCCTTTGAATTTCAGGATTTCATTCAAACTTCCATGTTGGAATTCCACTTCACCCAAGGCAACACCTCCAGCTTTCCTTCCCCGTGCCACGCCCTCTAAACCATATCCAAGCTTCTCATCTCCACACCTGGGACTCCTCTCTCCTACTTTATCTTCCCATCTCCAAACCTTTCCACAGGGAATGTGGGATTCTCTTGGCTCTGCCCAGCAGAGCCAGCAGGGATTGGACCTGGATCCAGAAGGTGCCTGTGGTGAGGTTTTTGTGCAGCTCTGTGGAAGCTCTGGGAGCTCCAGCTCATCCTGAATTTCTCCCAGGGGTGGCTGCTCGGCCTCAGGCGCCCGTGGGAGTCCAGAAATCCCAAATCCCAAATTCCTTACCAGTAACCGGTGTCCCTGCCCATGGGTAGCCACAAACACCTTGTCTCCCATCTGCTTCTCCTCTCTCCTCAGAGTCCTTCCAGGTCTGAGCCCTGTGATTGAGAGGTAGAATTGTTAGAAAAGTCCATTTGGGCTACACTTCCCACAGAGCCTCGGTTACTGGTAAGTGACCTTTCTTTTAGTTCCAGATTGTTCTTAAAGAGCTGAGAGAGCCTCCCTTCTTGTTCCTGAAAGGGCTGAGAGAATCCCCTTTCTGTCCCAAAAAGGGCTGAGAGAATCCCCTCTTTCTGTCCCAAAAAAGGCTGAGAGAACCCCCTCTTTCTGTTCCTAAAAGGGCTGAGAGAATCCCCCCTTTCTGTCCCAAAAAGAACTGAGAGAACCCCTCTTCCTGTTCCTTAAAGAACCAAGAGAAACCTCCTTTTCTGTCCTAAAAGAATTGAGAGAATCCCCCCTTTCTGTCTGTGCTTCTGGGGTCCCAACTTGTCACTCCCACAGAAGCCAGAAAAGCTCCTCAGACCTCACCACAAACAAATTCTGACCAGAACAAATTCTGTTCCCTGTGTCCTTTCCTCCTCCCAGTCAGGAATTGGGATTTACTCAGGGTGTTTGCACGGCTGTTGTTACAGCTGAAGAATTTTTTTCCTGCACTACACAATTTAAACTGCTTTTTATTTAAAATCTTTAAAATGCACAATTTGCTTGGCTGGAGATATTCCAAGCCCAGCAATGATTTTGGGTGCTCCCTGTCTTGGAGCTCAAATTTGAGGTTTTTCCTTTCAAAGACTCTTTCAAATCAGGCCTTGTTTGATGTTTAAAAGTTGTATCCAGGGGTCTGGGCAGAGCAAATGAAAAATGCAGAGTTCTGGGCTTTGGTTGAGTATGGAACTGGAAAGTCAGCACGGAATGGTCTTGTCCCACACGAGTTCCAAGGGATTGGAATTGGTGGCCAGTTCTGCTTCTCCTTTTGATTCCCAACTCCATATTCCCTGGAGCATCCCAGTGCCCCCAGAGACAACTTTGGGTCTGGTGCTGGTTTTGTATTCCAGCTGCTGCATCCTGAGGTGCCCAGAAATGTGGGAATCACTTCCATGGGATGCAGGGTCTGAGTCTGGCACTGAAGGGCTTTTCCTCCTGATTTTTCCCAAATCTCATTTAGGATTTGGGTTTGCCGATGCTCCTTTGGTTGCTCCTGTTCTTCCCAGCTCCTTCAGCTCCCAAAAGCTGGGAGAGCCTCAGGCCATGTGCTGGGAAAGGGCAGGGTTAGGTGGGATATGGGGAAGGAATTCTTGGATGTGAGGGTGGGGAGCCCCTGGAATTCCCAGATTTGCTGTGGCTGCTGCCCTGGATCCCTGGAAGTGCCCAAGGCCAGGCTGGAGCAGCCTGGGATGGTGGAAGGTGTCCATGGAGCACTGGGATGGGATGGGATGGATTTAAGGTCTCTCCCAACCCAAAGCATCCTGGATTCCATAATTCTATAAAAACACCCTGTTCAGAAGGAGTTATGGGAAAAACATCAATGAAGATTCCACAAATATCCTGCCATCCATTCCCATTCCCACTCCCAGATCCCTTTTAGGAAATTCTGTTTAAATGTCTCATTAAAATGCTGATTTTTTTTTCCCCTGCTCCATTTAATTTTGCCATTTAGGTTCACTATGAATATTTATATCATTTTAATCTTCAGTCTGACATTCCGACAAAAATGAATTTTCCATCATCTTGGAATATTTCTGTTCCAAACTTCCAGTGTCCAATAAAGGGAGCTCAGTGAGTGACACTGAACCTCCCTGGGACCAAGATTTTTTCTGTATTCTGTCTTATACATGTAATTTTATTACACTATAACCAAAGGAAATATCAGCCTCTCCTCAGGACCAAAGGATGTCAGCAGTTCTACTTTCCAAACATTAATCAGATATTGGAATATTAATCAGATATTCTAATAATAATTACAACAAGAATAATAATCGGAACAATAATAATAATAGGAATATAGACCAAATATTGCATTTTATTAAATTTGATTTTTAAAAGCAGTGAAATTTTAGCTGTTTCAGTACGATAAACCTGCTGCACACAAATCTTTACATAAATTATTGTGGAAATTAAGGATTCACCTTGTCCCAATAATTCTCCTTTACAGGCTGAAGAATTTGCCCTTCACTTTCACCAAACTCAAGGAGCTGGCAGCCCTGTGGCTTTCTGACAACCAGGTAATGCCTTTCAATATTCCCATTTTCCTTAGGAAAGGGGCTGTCAAGAGCCCTGTCACTCAAGACAAGATTTAGAAGAATTTTGGAAGGCTTTGCTCCCAGCCCAGCTGTAGATTTCCATATCCAGCCATAAATCCTGGGTGTCATTTTTCACCATGGAAAAATCACCTTTGCAGGATTTATTTCACCAGGATCAGCTTCTGCCTCCTTACCAAAGTAGTAAATAAAGGGCAAAAGTAGCACGGGAGTATTTTTGAAGTAGAAATTCAAGATGTTCTTTCCCAAATTCGTTATTATCCTGCTCCCACCCTTTCCTCCATCTGCTCCTCTGTCCTTGGCTTCCTCTTCCCTTTTCCCACCCCTTCTCCCATCCCTGCATATTTTAAACTCCCCTGCACTCAGGGAGAATTCAGACAAGTCAAAGATGCACGAGGACTCTGGGTCTTGCTTTGGAGAAAATTCATTTCTGTGCCTGTGAAACCTGAGGGGGCCTTTCTTTGTTCCAGGACTCTGGTTTACAGCAGATATTCTTTGGGATTCTATTTTAAACCAAATTATGCAACAGGAACCCTGAGAAATGCAACGGTTCCAGCAGCAGCTGAGCCCTAAAATAAGTCTGAAATGCACATTTAGTTTTAGAGCCAAGCCAAAAATGTGAAAGATGAAAGTGGGGGGGGGTTAATAGAAAATTATGATTAAAATTTAATGTGTTAAATGAGGGTTCTTGGGGTTTTTTCCCCCCTCTGATTTCCATTTTAAAAGTTAACATTGCCTGGCTGTGCAGTCCAGGCACAGAACACCCCCAGCCCTTTAAATACAGAACATTTCCCAGCATTTTGACTTTCCTGTGGCATAGCGTGGATTGATTTCCATTCTCTGGGCTGTGACGGTCACTCCTGGATCAGAGTGACTTTGGGTGGAGCAAAGCAATGATAAAACATCCCCAGCTGAAGTCAAACACAGGGGGAATTCTCCGGGAATGCTCCATGGGAGTTCTGCTGTGCCAGGTGAACTGACAACCCCCAGGAATTTACTCCTCATCATTAATTAACTCTTCGTTAGGCCCGGCTCCAAATACATCCCAAGGGGTGTTGAACTGTGCAGTGCCAGGTCTGTTCCCTGATCCTTTTCCCTTGGAGCACCCAGGCAGGATTCCCGGTGTTCCGTTCTGCCGGGAATTGCGGGAAAAGGGAGAGGAGGCTCCGCGCTGCTCCCGGTGCAGGCGGAATTTGTTTTCCTCCAGAACCGCAGCCAGCCTTGAGCTCCTGGGCAGGGGAAGGCAGATCCAGCTCCCAGGAATTAATGGATGTGTTCCCATTCCCTGCAGTCCAAGGCTCTGATCCCGCTGCAGACGGAGGCGCATCCCGAGACCAAGCAGCGAGTGCTCACCAACTACATGTTCCCCCAGCAGCCCCGCAGCGACGAAGGTAAAACCCCGGCAGCTCCTTCTTTGGGGAGGGCAGGGAATTCCAGAGGGAGAGGAAGGTCCAGCCGTGGCTCCACTGACATTCCAAGGCCACGGGGACATCCCTGGTTTGGCCCACACGGATGGATCCTGGTGTGCTCGGGCTGACATTTCCCGATTGACGTTTTCAGATTGACGTCCTCTGATGGAAACGTTCAGATTGACACTTCCTGATTCACATTTTCAGATTGACATTCCCTGATTTACATTTTCAGATTGACACTTCCTATTTACACTTTGGGGATGGCATTTGCTGGTTTACGCTTCCACACTGACGTTTTCTGGACCCCTTTTATTTCCAGAGAGGATTTGCAGGGGCAGTCAGAGCCCAGCTCTGGGTGTGCACACACCAGGAATTGTCGGCTCCAGACAGGAGCTGGGAATGTCCAGCCTCGTGGGGTGGGGGCTCAGGGCTCCCAAACTTGGCTGGATTGAGGCTCTGCTCTCCACAAAGCTCCATTAAATCCAAATTTTCACACTCCCCCTCTGCCCCAAACCCTGGTGGTGCTTCCCACCACTCTCATCCCAGCTTTCTTTATAACTCTGGGATGGTTTCTCAGTTCCCATTGTCCCCCTCCCATTTTCCAGCAATCACCCAAGCGACCAATTAGGGAAAGTCTGTTTGGATCATTCCCATCTCCCTCTGCAATTCCCTGCAGATTTCCAGTCAGACAGCGACAGCTTTAACCCCACTCTATGGGAGGAGCAGAGGCAGCAGAGAATGACTGTGGCCTTTGAATTCGAGGACAAGAAGGAAGAGGAGGAAAATCCAGGGAAAGTCAAGGTAAGTACTGCTGGATTTATTCTGGGATTCACTCAGTATGGACAGGGGTCTCAAACTGAGCTGGGTTTGTATTTTAATGTCAGATTCCTGCTCTGTGCCAAAGGGAATTGGGACAGAATTACTGTCCCACCACTGCTTTTTTAGGAATATTTGAATCCCATAGGGGATCCCATATTCCTCTCAAAGCAGAAGACAACGAGCCTCGTGGAATGTGCAGTGGAGAGGGCATCACTTGTAAAAAATGAAGTTCAAAGCAAGAATTTCCTCCCCCAGTTTAGTGAAATTAATGCCACTGCAGAGTTCTCCATTGATGCCTCAATCAGCTGCATTGTCAGGAGGATATTTTCAAACCTGTCAGCCTTTACATGGCATGGAAATGTCTCTTTCTTGAATAATATAAGGGAATTATCCCACACTTCAACCCTGCCAATTTCTAACTGTGGTAGAGCACCCAAGGTAAAATGTGGGGTCTGAGAAAAAATCATCTGGGGAGATTTAAATCAGATTTTACTTCTAAAATTAACAGTTCTCTTGTCAATAGCAATTTAACATTCCATTGAAAACTTGGTGGAAATTCTTGATTTTTCTTTCCAATATTTTTCCCAGTTGGGAATTTCTCTCCAGCTCCTGTGCCCAGAGATAATGGACTCTTCTGCTTTAGTGAAACAGAAAATGAAGCCAAAAGCAGCTTTCAGCTCACAATAAATAGATTAAAGTGGAATTTTACCCTGGATGAATTGCAGGTTTCAATGGGCCGTGCATGGAAAACAGCATCTGGGAAAGTTTTCTGTTGTTCCACAACTTGTATCAGAATTTTCCCTGGGGGTGACATGGCTGGAGGTTTCAACATGAACATTTTTAGCAGTTTCACCAGAGCTTTAAGGGATACATTTAAATAAATTTAAATTCCCAGCAGGCAGTAACCACCAACACTGCAACATTTTATAACAGCAGAAGAAGATTTCACTTTTTATCTCTCATCACACTGAACTTTCAGACAGACAGATGCTAAAATAAATTTGATAATTGGGATTGTTTGACAGCTTTTTTCCATCAAGGATTTTGACCTTTGAAAATTCTCTCTTTGGGGGTCAGGCTGCTTTTGATGGAGTGGGACTGGCAAGGAATGCAGATTTCCTCTGGGATGGAAAGTGTGGATCACTGAGGGAAAGGTCTGCATCCCAGAGCTGTCCCCACCAGAGCTGCAGGAGTTTGGCTGTTTGATATTAATGCTCCCAGGGAGGTGAAACTCCTCCTGAAATCCCTGTTTGGGAATGTCTGTCTCATCCCAGCCTCCAGATCCTTCTCCCTGCCTGGAGTTCCCAAGGATTTGCCCTCAAACCAAGGCCTGAGCTCTGGGAGACACCAAGGGCCTCATTAGGCCACCCCTAAAAACCATTTCATTCAACCGTAATTGAAGCAGAGCTTCAGTGCTGCTTTCCAGACTTGATTTATCTTTTTCTGTTGGAATTCTTTATTAAAAGTGACATCCCACTCATAGATTTTAACATTTTCTGTTCTGCTCCGTGATGTTTATTCTCTCCTGGCTCGGGTCTGGATGCCAGCACTTGATGCAGTTTTATTTACCAAATCAATCATGCTTTTGCCTCTGAAATATTCCTATGGACAGACCATTTTCAGCTGAATCCAAAACTGCATTTTTCCTGCTCGTTGGGAATTTAAATCCAGCAGCTCTGGCAGGTGCTGTTAAAATCAGCTCCTTTGTCAGCTCACCTGCACCATGAGGTAAAAGCTGCTGTGCGGCAAATTCCAGATCCTCTCTCACCAGGAGAAATTTGAAGTTTCCCAGCCTCGTCATGCTGACACGCTCTGGGAACGCTGGGAAGTTCAGATGTGGGGTTTTCCAGGAATTCTGGGGGTCTGTCAGTCACTCCAAGCTCAGCCAGGCCCTGGGGACTCTCTGGAGAGCTCTGGCTGTGTTTTCCCGTGCCAGAAAAGAGCCGCAGACACCCGGCTGTGTGTGAACACGATCCATCTCCAGGAGCAAATGGCTCCCAGAGGATCAGCTCCTGCTCTCAGCTGCCATCCATAATTCAGATTAATTGAGAACGTGGAGCTCGGCTGAATTAATTCAGCGTTTACAGCGGGATTGTTTGGGAAAGCGCGACAGAATGTGTCAGCAAAAGGGCAGAGTTACCAAAACCCTCCCAGGGTGAGAGATGGCCTTGCAGGGAACCATTCCCACCCCTTATTTTATGTCACTGGGATTGCATTTGATGCTGGCAAAGAGGGAATGAGCAAATTTCAGTCCTGAACTCCTCAAACTCCCCAGGCAGATCGAGCAAACCACGAGGGAAGTGCCCTCGGCCCAGCACCGTAACCAGGCCCTGCCTTCATTCTGTATTTCTGCTTCCATTGCGAATTTTAACTCACCCTTCTGTGACTGTTCAGGTTGAGATAAACCTCAAGCGTTACCCCACTCCATACCCCGAGGATTTAAAGAACATGGTGAAATCTGTGCAAAACCTGGTGAGCAAACCCAGCCTGGGAGTGCGGCCCGAGAACTCGGCCCCGGCTGCCAACAGTGACCCCACGGGGAAGGACAAGTACGAGCACAAGTGGCCCCTGACCCCCAAGGAGATCTCAGTGGAGGTACTGTAAAGGACCCTTGCTCCTCTCCACAATTCCAGACTCTTTGGGGTTTTTTTTAGGGTTTTGAACCCCCCAAAGGATGTTTTGATCCCCTCAGGCCCACGAGTTCCTCAAGTTCCGTATTGAGCTGCTGGGTTGCAGTCGGGCTTGGACTGAGTTGCTGAGTTTTGTCCAGTTTTAGACTGAGTTGCTGTTTTTCCCAATGCTGCTGAATTTTTGGGTTGAAATCTCCCTAGATGTGAATTTAGCTGTGGATTTATGGCAGCACTCTGCTCCATTTCAGTGACGGGAGGTTGGCAGGAGGAGGGCGCAGGCACCACTTCCATCCCATCCCATCGGATCTGTCCAAGACCACTGGGTTCTGCCCTTGGGATTGCTGTCAGCAATCCAATTAACCCTGCCCAGAGTTAATGAAGGCAGCAGGAGAGCTCTTTCCACACCAGGGAGCAGCCCTGGATGGTGGCTCCATCCCGGAGCTGCAGAATCCGGCTCTTCCTGGAGTGTTTTCCAAGCACAGGGACAAACTCCACCCCAGGATAAATCCCCAAAAGGTAAATTCCTAAATCCTGCAGTCCTGCTGGGGCTTGGTCTCACCTGCCCCACCAAACCTGTGTGCAGGCACCATGCAGAACCAAGGGAAATCCTTTCCCATGGGAGTTTAAAAGCTTGGAGAGGTCTGCGGGAATTGGAGAATTCCTGAAAATCTTTACAAAGCTTTAATGCTGAAAAGAAATAAATGAGGAAAAAAAGATTTTCCTTCTTTTTCACTCCTTTGCTATATGAACATTGTGATAAACTCCTGGAAATGCCCCCTCTGTGGGCAGGAATTGCTCTCCCTCAGTTTTCCATGTCTTTGGCACAAATATTCCACATTCAGCTCTGGCTGCTCCCTCACTGCCGTGTTTTATTTGCAGTTAAACGTTTTCATTCCTTAAAAAACAACCCCCCAAAGTTTTCTCTTCAAGTTGGCTTCAGAAAGCTTCAACTCTAGGCACGATTTCAATTAGGACTAAAATATTGAAGTTAAATATTTAATTTCAAGTAGAATAGTTGTGTTAAATCACTCATGTTTTCATCTAAATCTGAAATCTTCAATTCCACCATTTTTCCCATTTACTCATTAAATTCTCACTGTGTAAATCTGGTCCTTGAACCAGCTGGTGACTTGGGCCACGAGTCTTGACATTCTGCTCTTGTTGCTGAATATATAGAATTTATTCTGTATTACCCATCGTTTGAACTTGAATATTCTCAACAGCTTTCTGTGGCTTTTTAATTATCCCCACGTGTTTCCATCTGGAATTTGATCCATGTGGCCTGGCAGAGGTTTTAGGTGTTTGCTCTCGTGGCTGTGGCCAGTGATGTGGCCTCTAGAAATCAGCAGTTTGTTACTTTTTGTTAAAATAATGTTGAATTTTTTAATGAAAACACGAACATCCCAGCGAGCTGAGCCCCAGCAGGGTCCTGGGAGCTGGCAGAGCCAGGAAATGCATGCCCAGGGAACAGAGGGAATAGCAGGGACACCGTGACCAGAGTGGGTGTGGAATGTCCCCTGGGTGTGTGTGGAGACACGGGAATGTCACAAAACCCCCAAGGTGGCTCCTGCAGTGCCACTGAATAACCAGAGACTGCAGTTTCCTCCCTCATTCTCTCCCAAAGCAGAGCTGGGAGCTCCCCCTGCTCCCCCCTGTGCCAGCCAAGGTGAGATTTCATCTCTGTCACAGTGGTGGAGATGGGGGAACTTCTCAGATTTTCATTTCCCTGGGACTGAGTCAAGGCTGGTACCACAACTATTCCAGCAGCTGAAGAAAAGAAAAGGGATGTTCTTGTCCTTCCCAGACACCAGGAGGGGTTTTTAGCTCTGATCAGGGTGGTGCAGACACATTTCCCTCTCCTTGGCTTCCTGCACGAGGATAAAACACACGGGAAGTGTAGGCAAAGTGTGAATGGTTTTGTGAACAATATTGGCCTGATTTCAGTTGTAACCCATTAAATCATACATAATTAAACTCCATTTGCTTTGCAGATAATTAGCAGACAGACTCAAGCCTCGAGTTAAAGTGCACTTTGAAATTGCAGGTGTGTTGTGATGTAGCTAAAGGCTGAAGGCAGTTTCTGATCCCAGGTAATTGAATTTCAGGTGCAGTGCTCACTTTTCATCCTCAGATAAACTGGTTTCTGATCTCTTTTGGCTTTCCCTGCAATTAATTTGCACGTGTTTCTTCAGAAACTGTTTCTAAATAATGAAAGGGAGCATCTGGAACGAGGAACTGAATGAGGAGCTGCATTTCAAATCCACTGTACCACCCTTCACCTCCATTCACAATAAGCAAACAATGTCTTGATTAATCATCAATTAAAACAAACCTCTTCATCATTCTGATTCTTTTTTGAAAGATGTGAGTTCTGGCCGAAGAGGAGCCTGGAATTATTTAGGGAGTTGTGCTGCCTTTCCATGAGAAACAATGAGGAATATCAAAATCAGCAAGTCAGGTCTTTGTGGTTCCTGTTCTTGATGTGTTTGCATTGAGAATATCCCAAATTTCCTCTGCCTCATCCCTTCCCAGAGCCCTGGGCTGCTCCAAGCAGATTCCAGGAGCCTGGTCATTCCAAACATTCTGTCCCTCCAGATTATAATTTAATGTTCTTGTGTTCTCAGCCTGAGCATGTGCTGATATTTCTCTTGCCAGTTGTTTTTATGGTTTGTACCAGGCATTTTCTCCTCACCACAGTTCTCTCCTCTCTTCCTGCACCCTTCTCCTGTTAATCCTGAGGAATAAATCCTGAAGAATAATCTCCAGGCACCAACTCAACATAATTCCATTTATCTCTTCCCTTTCTCCTCGCAATTTTCTTCCTATTAGTGACCTTTTTGTTCTTCAGCTTGTAAGGAAAAGGTCTTCTTAAAGAGAGTGGAATTAAATGGAGAGTGGTTTGGGGGTTTTTACAGCACATTTCACATATTCATGGCAGATTCACAAATGCCAGAGTGGTTCTTTCAAAAGTGCATTGGTTTTTTGAAGGAATGGCTGGGCTGGGGGATGAAAAGGAAAGGAAAATACTACAAAATAGGGAATTTCATGCACCCCAAGTTCACAGTCTTGTGAAAAATGGAACTGCTGGGTCTTCATCTCTTCCAGCAAGGTGGGGGACAGTTTAAGCTTGAAACTCCTGGAAGTTTCATGGCACAATATTGGGATTCCAGGTCCAAGACAAAGAAACCAAAGAACCCCCCGAGACCCCCTTGCCTGAGAGCAGCCCGAAATCCCCTCTGGAAGCCCCGGGCAGGGAGGACAAGGCCCAAAGCTCAGAGGTACAGCCAGGCCTGGGCTGCTCAGGTGGAGAACGTCACGCTCTGCACTGCCCTGCACTGCTCTGCCCACAGCCGTGGGGTCCCACCAGTTTGTCCCACTGCACTGGGAAAGGGCTCTGGGGGTCACTGGGCACCTGTGGAGCACCGGGGAAATCCTCTGCATGGGGAAGGGAAGGCTGGGCTGGATCACTCCGTGTGGGAATCACCGTGGAACTGCCTGAAACACGAGCCCCGAGGGCGCTGATTAAACTGAGGATGCCTCTTCTGGGAAGGTCCTGCCTCCAGTAGAACATCAAATACAAAGGGTTTGAAATAGCTCTGGTGTAAACAGAATTAAATTCTCCACGGATAAATCACATGGCAAATGCTTCTGCAAATCTCTGTCACTACAAAAAGTAGTTAATGGCAGTTAACCTCTGAAAGTTTCCTCCCTGTAAGTGAAAACAAGAAAATTTTTAAAACATGGTGGCATTATACATTCTGGCAATGCGGATTTGGTTTGGGTACTCCAGTTTAAATTTCAGTTTAAATGATCAGTTTCTCTGATTATTAAATCTCTCCCTATTGCCTTCCCTCTCCAAACTCACTGGAGAGCATTTTCAATGTGTCAGGGTGCAGAGAGCCTCCTGTGTCACCTGTCCCTGTCTCCCCAGGACACTCCTCTCCTCATCCTGGAGCTTTCTGCAGGGATCAGAAAGGCCCCACAGTTCCCATTGGTGCCTCCATTCCCTCCCTAGGGGCCTAAATGTCCTAATTTGAAATTTCTCTTTCTAAGAATGAGTCCCCCTTTCCTCCCGCAGTTTAACTGGGGTTATTTTCACTCCTGTTGCAGGGCCTGTGTGAAGGCCAGGTGTGCTGAACTCTCAGGCAGAAGTTTATTAAAACCAACTCATTTCAATTTAGCCACAAACTCCTTAGAGACAAAGCCATTTTAATTAGGTACAGCTCCAGGGACAGCTGAATCTCTGGAAGGACTCACCAAAAATAACTGAGCGAGGAATCCTCCCTCCTGAAATACCAATTGTTTACACTCAATTTGTGTCTATTTGTTTCTGCTGGCAGCATTTTTGGTGACCTTGACTTCATCAAAAATGTTTACACGGCCTTGATGTATCTTGCAAGTTCCATCTGGTTTGTCCACGTTGCCAGAACGATCACATCACCCTCATTTTGAGGAGGATTTGTGTAGGACTAATTAGAACTTTCTGCTGACAAATTAGAACATTCTGCACAGCCCGTCCGGTGGGTTTGGGGTGTTTGAATGATCACGAGGGCTGTGAACTGTTTGTGTGCTGCAGCTTGAAGCGTTCCTGTGCTCACTCTGCCTTGTTGTGTCCCTCAGGATGCCTTTGGACATCCTGGCAGTGAGATGAGGATAGGGGAGCTCCGTCCTTCCATCCCCGAGACGCCGCTCTACCCCCCGAAACTCATCCTGCTGGGTAAAGACAAGAAAGGTACTGATGGATTTACAGCCTTTGAGATGAAACCGTGTGGTGGGGATGTTCCACCCCTGCTTGTAAACCATAGCCCGCGGACATTTGTGCGCGCGTCCATCCGATCCAATAACGCTTTTAACTTTCAAATGTGTTTTTCTGGTGTTTCGTTCCCGAGTGCCGCCCCCTGAAAGCGTTTGCTGTGTTTTGTTTCAGAGTCGACAGATGAGTCTGAAGCAGATAAGATCCATTGTCTGAATAACAGCGTTTCCTCAGGCACTTACTCAGACTATTCCCCTTCCCAGGCTTCCTCAGGGTCCTCCAACGCGCACGTAAAAATGGGCTCCCTGCAGACCACGGCTAAAGAAGCAGTGAATAACTCTTTGTGGGGGAACAGGTGTGACATCTTTCCTGACGCAGCTTCTGCTTCCCTTTTGTCCTGTCTGGGCCCTCAGAGCCACCCTGTTAGGGCACTGGGGGTTAAAAAATAATCCACGTTTTGTCCCATGTTGGCAGAGCTGGCCACCCTCCGTATTCCATAATCCCACAGCTGCTGGTTCAGCTCTGTGCCATCTCCAGGCATTCCAGCTCCTGGAGCTGGTGCCGTTGGTGTCCCATTATTGCTGTCCCAGCTCCCTCTGCCCTGGACCTCCAAAAAGGTTCTTGGGAAGCCATAACCTGCTCTGGAAATGTTCCAGGACCGGCCTGTCCTGTCAGTGCCTGCCCCAAATCCCCTCAGGCTGTTCCGTCCGCGGCTCTGCCCCGTTAAAGAGCTGGATGAGAACAGGCAAAAACCGCCTCCAGCGTCTCTGGTTAAAAAGTGGGGGGGAACCTTCTGTTGCACTCATCCATTATCTTTACAGCAGGAAAATCTGTTCAGCGGGATTTCTGGGAACACAGCAAGGAGCCAGCCAGGCCTTTGAGTGACTTCTTGGCTTCTCCGTGTGTGTCCTGCCGGAGTCTGTGCTCCAGGGCAGAAACCTGCTGCCACCATTCCCGTGCCAGTGGCACGACATCCGTGGAGTTCCCAACAGCTTGAGAGTAGCTCAGTTGGTGCTAAAAACACCGAGGGGGCAGGTTTGGTTCCTGGGCTCAGTGATCCTTGTGGGGCCCTTCCAAGTGGGAATATTCCATGTTCAGAATCCCTGTGGTCTCCCGGTGCGATCCGGAAGCCAGAGCGTAGATGGGAGAAGGCCGGATTGCTTTCCAAGGACGATGAGTGCTGGCGTGCCGGGACAGAGGACATTTTATCTTGTTCCCTTCTCTTGTCTTTGCAGGCTGGCCCAGTCGTTCCCACAGCCCCTGGAGACCAAGCCATTGCTGAGCCAGCGGGAAGCGGCTCCGGCCGGGAACGTCCCGGCGCGCCCGGAGCGGCGCCCGCTGAGCGACGCCTTCGCCGACAGCTGGAACGACGGCTCCCACTACGACAACACGGGGTTCGTGGCCGAGGAGAGCGCGGCAGAGAACGCCAGCACCAACCCCCTGCTGAGCACCAAATCCAGGAGCTCCTCCGCGCACGGGCGCCGGCCGCTGATCCGGCAGGACAGGATTGTGGGGATCCCCCTGGAGCTGGAGCAGCCCGCGCTCAGAAACACACACGACTCTGAAGTGCCTCCTCCCAATCCTTGGCAAAATTGGACCAGAACCCCCAGTCCTTTTGAAGACAGGACAGCTTTTCCTTCCAAACTGGAAAGCACCCCCAACACCAGCCCTTTGCCCGAGCGGAAAGATCACGTCAAGGAGTCTCCCGAAATGACGAGCACTTTCACTCCAGGAATTCCGTGGGAATATCACGACTCCAACGCTAACAGGAGCCTCACAAACGTCTTTTCTCACATGCACTGTCGCCCGGACCCTTCCAAAAACGTCATCTCCATCAGCAAGAGCACGGAGCGGCTCTCCCCGATGATGAGGGATTTAAAAACGAACAAGTTTAAGAAGTCACAGAGCATCGACGAGATCGACATCGGTGCGTACAAGGTCTACAACATCCCCCTGGAAAACTATGCATCCGGGAACGACACCGTGGGCCCCCACGAGAGGGTGGACAAGCTGCTGGGCCCGGAGCACGGCGTGCTGAGCATGTCCCGCAGCCAGTCCGTGCCCATGCTGGACGACGAGCTGCTGACCTACGGCAGCGTCAAGGTGCAGCCGCAGCACAAGGCGTCGGTCACCAAGAAAGTCTATCAGTTCGACCAAAGCTTCAACCCCCAGGGCGCCGTGGAGCTGCCGGCCGACAAGCGGCTCCTGCCGCCCTTCCAGCTCAACGCCGAGTACCTGCCCCAGCCGGCCAAGAGCCTGCCCCAGGAGCTGGTGAGCCCGCGGGGCTACCGTGGCTATGCACCCGTGGAGCCCATGTTCTCCTTCTCGCAGCCCTCGGTCGGCGAGGAGCCGCCGGCCGCCCCCTTCCCTGGCCCGGCCGCGCGGCCCGGCTTCCTGCGCAGGGCGGATTCGCTGGTCAGCTCGGCGGAGATGTCGGTGTTCCGCAGGGTGGGCGAGCCCCAGGAGCTGCCCCCGGCGGACAGGTACGGCCGGGCCCCGTTCCGCGGCGCCCCGGAGCGCCAGGGCAGCATGGCCGTGCCCGAGGCCCAGTTCCTCAAGCGCAACGGGCGCTACGAAGACGAGCACCCTTCCTACCAGGAGGTGAAAGCCCAGACTGGGAGCTTCCCAGTTAAAAACCTCACGCAAAGGAGGCCCCTGTCAGCACGAAGCTACAGCACAGAGAGCTACGGCACGGCCCAAACGCGGCCGGTCTCAGCGAGGCCCACCATGGCAGCTCTGCTGGAAAAGATTCCGTCAGACTATAACTTGGGTAACTATGGCGACAAGCCTTCCGATAGCAGTGATATAAAGCCGAGGCCTCCCCCTGGGAAGGGAAATGAGAGCTGTGCTAAAATGCCCGCTGACTGGAGACAACAGCTACTTAGACATATAGAAGCTAGAAGGTTAGACAGGGTATGTTTGGCATTTCTCTGCAATTAATGCCTTTAGTTGTGTGTTTCGCTCTGTCAAACGATTTGCACGTGCAGTGGTGACCACCAGAATTCCCAGGGATGAAATTCCCACCGTGGTGTCGGAGGGACCGGCCCGCCGAGGGCCCTGGGGGTGCTCAGCTGGAGTGAGGGATCCCAGAAAATCCAGAGGCTCCTCACTGGCGGTGCCCCTCGGGACGGTCACCGGGGTGGTGGCTCCGGCTCCTGGGTCAATCCAGAGGCTTCACGCTGGTGACATTCCTTGGGGCAGTCACTGGGGTGGTGATTCTGAAACCTGGGTAAATCCAGAGGCTCTGCTGGGACAGAGACTCTGGACCCCGGGTAAATCCAGAGGCTCTGCCCCAGTGCCCGTCACGGGGGTCGTGACTCCTGCAGCTCTGCCCAAAATCAGGAAGAGCCCTGAGGTTCTCTCCCGCTCATGGAAGCGCTGCTGGAGCCACCAGGTCAGTAACGACCGAGAGCTTGGAGAGGCACTGGGCGTGCCTTGGCAGTAAAAAGGAATAAAGGAAAAAGAGAATAAGTAATAAAATGTATTTTAGCTCTGGTGTCACTGTTAGTGCAGGGGGTTTAAAAGTGTCTATAACTGAGAAATATCCCTGGGTATCCACTGCCACTGTTCTAACGGGAATGTGATCGTTACTCCTTCTAGCTGTAGGAAGTTATGCTGATTTGCCTTCTATCCAAAGGGTACTTTAGTGCATGATTCAGTCATTACCTATTTAATGACCTAATCCATGAATCCGATTTACTCCGTGATCTGAAGTGGTTGTGACGAATTCCTGTGGTGAAATGCATAAGAAGTCATTGCCAAATGTGTCCATATACTGCTTTTTGCTAGAGCCTCCTGAGTTCGGTGTTAATACCCTCCTTACCTTCCAGTTGCTCGGATGTGATGACATTAAATTATCCTTAAAGATCGAATGGGGAAACTTTAAAAAGGGGCTCCAAGGCTGAAGTGTTTTCCTCCCTCAGCTCTTCTCCTTGTGCTGTGTAAACCCACTGGAAACTGCCTCCTACCCAGGGAAACCAGTGCCCCCCGAGCAGGGCCCTTCCTGGTGGAAATAAACCCTTGCCAGATGTTGTTGCTTTAAGGAATTACCTTCACACTTAGCTCACAACGCGCACAAAGGGTGCTTTAACCCCGGAAAGCCGCTGCCGGTGGTTGTCCCTAATCCCTGCAAGGTGCTTCCTGCTGGGTGCAGAGCTCCAAGGAGCTGGGCTGGGCTGCCTGCTGGAGACCCTGCTGCTGGGAGCAGCTGGGAGCAGCCCCTGTCCCTGGGGTGGGCACGGGACCCGTGTCCCTGCCCTGCCCAGCTGCTCCCACGCGGGCTGGTCCGTGCTTTTCAGGGAGCGGGACTTGCCCGGGGGCTGCTCCTCCACGCCAGGCCCACCTCTGCCTACACAGCCCACCCCGAATTTGGCCGTTTTTGCAAAAGCAAGACCTGTAGGATGCGAACTCCAGATCCCACCACCCCTCATGTGCTGTCAGCGTGGAAGTCCTTCCTCTCTGGTGCCCATTTTCTGTACGAGGAGCAATGTACTCGCTTTGTGTGACCAGTGCATGCCTGGAGGAGCTATTGATACTCGGTACTGTTTGTTGGCTTAAACTAAAACTCTGTGAACTTAACCATGTATGTGTGAGACTTAATTCTGAGCATGTGTGTTCATATGTGTCCCGTGGTTGTTTCCTCTACTCAGAGCGCTGCTTACAAACACCACACAGTTAGCCTTGGCATGCTGCACTCTGGAGGGGTTTCAGCCATGCATGCCGGCCGAAGCATGACTTTAAACTTGCAGCCTAAATCTAAATTTGAAAACCAAATGCTTCAAGAGCTACCTCTACCGAAAGTAAGTATGGGCTAGCCAGCATTCCCGGCATTCCCGGTTAATTAACGATCCTTGCTTCCTCCTGGTTTAGCTTCTGCCTCTTCCTCGCGCTTTTTCGGTGCCCGGTCCACAAAGCAAGGCTGGCAGGGACGCGGCTCTGGCCTTGCTTTTTGGATTCCGGAGCTCCCTGGCTGTCACTCCTGCTTTCCTGCTCTCCTCACACACTCCCGGGCTGTCATTTGCTCACTGGGGAACGTGGTTTGCTCTGGGGCTGTTTGATCCTAGAAAAACGGGTGTGGAAATGTTGAACGGGCTCCAGGAGATGGGGATTTTCATATTTGAGCATTAATTGGGTGTGCTGTAACACCTGATGGGTTTTGAACACGTTACCACGCCCAAACCCATTCAAAACTTTGAGGAACACCTAAAAAAGAGAACTTTTTCCTCATTTATTTACTGTTTATCTTATATTTATCATCAATATATTGCTGACTGGTACAGACGTACAAAACTACGTATTCCCAAGGAATATTTGGAGGGAGAGGGACCCAGGACAAGGCAGAGAGGGCCATTCCTGCAGGATTCTCAGTGTCAGCGAGGGATGCTGAGACCTTTCTGATGGCTCAGCCTCTCCTTGCCCTGGCACAGGAGCTGAGGGGACAAATCAGCAGCAGCTCTGTCGGTAATTACAGGGCAGCAGAGCCGGAATCCCGGCGTTCCAATGGGATCATCCGTGCTGGGAATCACCAGGCTGGCCCCTGGCAGCCACCCAGGCCAGAGCAGCCTGGCCAGCAATTCCCAAAGGAGGCTTCCAAGGGTTCAGAGCTCAGCTCCGAGGATTTGAGGAGAGCAGGATAATTTAGCAGCAGCAGGAGCTGGCCCAGAGCTCGGCCCTGCTCCTCCTGCCGACCCCAGGCGTGTCCCGGCCGGAATTCCAGGCAATCCAGGGCAGGATGGCAGCGCACAGGGAGCAGTGCCAGGCCTTTCCCACTGTCCCTCCATCCTCTGTCACCTCCATGCCGTGTCCCCCCAGGTCCTGCTCTGGGGCTGTGCTGCTCTGTCGTGGGGCGGGAGGCTCCCAGGGGATCCTGCCTGGATGTGTGTGCTGGGCAGGGACACCCCAGTGTTGTCTTTGCTTCCCAGGAACTTGTTTGTCTGCTCAGGTGCTTGTCACGAGTCCCTGGAAAAATCCATTGGGAATCAACCCCAAAGAATGGTGCTGGTTGCCTCCACACGCTAGGAATGAGGTGTTTTATGGCACTTCCAGGATTTTTAGGCTGTAGATGAATATGGGTATTAATGATGGATGTCTGAGGAAATTCGGGAATCTGCTCTGTGGAATATTTCGGGGCGTGGTCTGATGTGGATTATTCTGCTTTTCTATTTCACCAGCATTCCATTGCTCCATATCCATAGAAACTGTGATGCTGAGTTTTGCATCGAGGGGTCGTTCTCTGGCTGTACTGTTTGGGAAAATGATTGTTGGGAAAGATTACTGCAGGGGGAAATGACTGTTGGAAAAATACTGTGTATATTTAGTGTTGTTTAATTTTATTGCTTCACACCTTCCACAGAATTTGCATTTCCTAAAGAATCCAGGCCACAGCAGTTTAATCCTTGCCTCTCCTCCTCCCTCCTTCCCATGGCCTGGATTCGAGAGAGTAATGAGTGAGCTCTGGCTGTCAGGAAATCAACTTGAACAATGAATTACATTGAAAACCTTCATGGCATCAATCTACTCCCTGTAGAAAATGTGGGAAGTGCTGCTTTTCCTCTTTTCCCCAGATTTCATGGAAGTGGAGCAGCCTCTCCCAGCTCAGGAAATGGCCAATATTGCAAGGGGATGAATTCCTTTTGCTGCAGCAAACGCAATCCCAGGATTTCCCTGTTTCTGGAGGAAGCTGAGAGCGCTCTCTGCATTTTCCCTTTTCCCTCTGGAGTGCCAATTCAGCCCTCTCCAGAGGGATCCTGCCCGTTTCTGGCTCCCAGTGAAAAGTTTTTAAAGTTCATCATTTGGTGCAACCCATTCCCAGAACTCCCAGAGTGGGAATTCCCATTGGGAATAACAGTGAGGAGGGGAGCAGAGGTTCCTTTTGGAATGGGAAGGGCACCCAGAGGGATCCATAAATTGATCCCTTGGGATGTGAGCAGATTCCCAGGACAGCTCTGCAGGGAATGGCTCATTTTCCCCTTTAAATGGGGTTAAAGAAAGCTCTGCAAGGAGATCCTGGGCTTTAAACAGGGGAAATGTTTTTCTAGTGGTTTTTAATAGAAGGAAAATCACAAATTACATGATTTTTCTAGAAGATTTCTTGAATGATGAAAGAATTCTAATGGAAGTTTCCTTTCATTTTAAATAATCAGAGTTGGAGTTTTTTAACTTCACCTCAGAGACGTAATTTAAATCATAATTTCCTTTTATTTATTTTTCAACTTCTGTTAAAAATTAGTTTTTAATGGAAAAATTCCCAGCTTTCACATCTCAAAGCAAATTTGATTAATTCTTCATCCATCTAGAGAAGTGTATCCTGATTTTTATTTTTTTTTTTTTAGTCTAAGCTAGAGAAGGAATTCCTGGAATGGCAGAGGGGAAGGATGGATATTTTTTATTCCTTTGCAGATCCCCATTAACCAATAAGCACTACACTGTGCCAGGTGCTGTCAGAGGCAGGACAAGGCTGGGATTTTGGGAAGTTCGACACCCAAAAGGTGTTAGGAAAACTCCCAGTGATGATCGAGAAATAGACAGACCAATAATGGAAACTCAGGATTGGGCAGGAAAAGTCCAAACCCTGTCCAAAGTCCTGAAAACAGGAATGAAACCACCAGGGGGGAATGTGACAAGGAAGAGACACGGAACAGGAGAGAAAAGGGAATTATGAACATTGAGGAAACGCTCCCTGTGTGTTGTGGCCATTCATGTTGAGGCAAACATTGAATTCCGGGTTAATATTGTACCAAAAAATGTCCCTGGCACAAACCAGGAGGTTCTGGGAGCTGCACACGGAGCCAGCACAGCCTTGGCACTGCCAGCAGGGGATGTTTGCTGCAGAAAACACAAACAGCTCATTTTTCCTGGTGGCAAATCCTTCCTAGAAAAGTTCCTGCCGCTGGAATGAGCAGCGAGAAAGTCCCGACTCCGGGAATTAACGCCAGGCCGTTTAAATATCACAATTTGCCAAAATTCGTTTCTCCGAAAGTAACGAGTCCCCATCCAATGAATTTTCTCTTCTCTCTCATCATTCATTATTCTCATGATTTCTGTCCCAAACCTCTCGAGCTCTCCTGCTTGCAGAGAGTCCCAGAGCCCGTCGTGCCGGCGGAGCGCCGGGCGTCGTGGCCGTGGCGCGTGGCCGCGTTGTTGTGACGTGAGCGTGCGAGGCTTTGTGCCGGTCACTAAAGGCTGCCCTGCATTTGTGAACAGACCCCGTCGCAGCAGAGCAGCCTCCTGGACAACGGGCAGGACGAGGTGGCCGTGGGCAGCCCCTGGACCCCGTACCCGCTGGGCCGGCGGGACGTGCCCCCCGACACCGTCACCAAGAAGGTAAGGACAGCTTGGGGCAGCCTGGGGGTGCTGCCAGGATTAAAGCAAGAGTTCTGTGAGTTGAGGGCGCTGGTTTTGATGCCTTGAGAGGCTCCTGGAGCAGAGGCTGGGCAGGGTTAAAGGAATAAAGCAGGGATTTATTAAAAGCCCTTCCAAGGAGCACCTTGGGCAGTGCAAGAGCCCGGCCGTGGCTCCACCCGAGCTGGGCTCTGAGTCACGAGTTTCACACTTTGATAAGTTCTGCTCCATGAATTAATTGTCCAATTCCAGCTCCAGTGATGCAGTCCTCACATCAATTCCCTGCTGGTTGTACCCTTTGGGCCTGGAGCTGCAATTTTGTCTCCCTAAGCTGTGAGGAGAACTTGCTGGGGCTTTCTGTGAAGTTCAGAGTTAGGGCAGGGCAGAAGGGGGAAATATGAAAGCTAAAAAAACTTCAGGCATCGTTTTCATGGTGCCCCTTTGCGTGCTCTGGCTCTGCTGTGGGCAGTGGGCACAGAGAGCTGGGCTGGGTCTCCTGTCCTGGTCCTGCAGCGTCATCCCGAGGTTTCATCCCTGTTTGTTGTTCAGTCCATAAAGAGCAGGAGTGGTGGGATGGCTCCAGGCCAGCCCTGCACAGGCACAGCCCTTTTGCTGATAAACTCCCTGGGAAAGGGTCTCATTTCTGGTGGATCTGTGGTGGTGGATACAGAATTCCAGTGCCAGAGCTCCTGGCTGCCCATGGGCTCAGCAGCTGCTGGGCTGGGTTGGGCTGGGCTGGGCTGAGCTGGGCTGGGCTGGGCTGAGCTGGGCTGGGCTGAGCTGGGCTGGGCTGAGCCGGG